TGTACATCAATCTTTTTACAGTACAGGTGATTGCCATTTCGAAACGTTTTTTTGACACCATAATTTAAATAGATAAAAAGATGTGCAATAAGCCACGTGTAACTGATTCATTCAAATTGTGGGTCTCGGCATAATCAGCTTTTTGCTTTGGGCATCACTTGATGACATTTCTTTACAGGCATAATCATTTGTTTTATTGTCTCTCCCCAGACATCGATGAGAATGCATGATTCCCAAAGCCAGTACAGCGAGGTGCTTCTGGAGAGGGACAGTTTGCTGTCCAAGCTGAAGCTACTGGAGCAGGACAAGTCCCGTCAGCTCCGTACAGAGGAGGAGCTCACTCGCATCAAGCTCACCCTGGAGGCCGAGCTCCGAAACAAACAGCGGCTGCAGGATGAAAAGAATACTGTCCTCAAGGACTTCAACTACATGAAGAGCCAGTATGAGCTGAGGGAGAGCCACATGAAGAAGTTTGAATCGGAGAGGGACCAGGCTGATCGAGACAGGCTCTCCCTGAAGAACGAGATTGAGAAGCTCGTGAGGGAGCGTAGGAGCATCGAAGAGAAGTACAAGAGTCGTTTGACCCTCTCTGAAAAGGAGGCCTCCGACCTGGCTCTCAAGAGAGACGCCCTGCAGAGGGAGATACAGAGGCTGCAGCAGAGACCCAACACTACGGCACAACAGACCCAGACGGAGGAAAAGGTCCCAACAATCGATCCATCCAAGCTCATATTTGACGGAGTGCGTCGCAAAGTCACCGCCCACCAGCTTTGCGACTGTGGCATCATCAGTAAAGCCACACTGGAACAGCTGCTAAAGGGAAAAAAGAGCGTGGCTGAGGTAGCTGTGGACATCCAGCTTAGTCTAAAGGGAACCGCCATCATTGCTGGTATTACAACGGGTTGCCAGGGGAAAATGCCATTCACTGAAGCGAGACGAAAGAATCTCCTCAGCAAAGAGAGCGCCATCATGCTCCTGGAAGCTCAAGCTGCAACCGGCTACATAGTCGACCCCACGTTCAATGAAAAGATGCCCGTGGATACGGCCTGCTCAAGAGGAATTGTAGACTCCGACGACAGAGACACCCTGGTGACAGCTGAAGCAGCTAGCACAGGCTTCAAAGATCCATTCACTGGCAAACTGTTATCTGTGGGTCAGGCTTGCAAACAGGGCCGTGTGAACAAGGACACAGCCATCCGCCTGCTGCAGGCTCAGGAGTCGGTGGGAGGCATTTTGGACCCTGTTCTGAGTGTGTTCCTCCCAAAAGACCTGGCCTTGGATCGCAATCTCATTGATGAGGATCTCTACAGGGCTCTGGGGAAAAAACCCTCATGCTACCTGGAGCCAGGGACAGGAGAGAAGATGACCTATAACGACCTCAGGAAGAAGTGCACAGTGGATCCTGTGTCTGGCCTGCTTCTGCTCCGTGTGTCCAAAGACACAGTGGAGGGTTTCCGAAAAAATGTTCCTATTTCAGAGCTTATAGATTCTGAACTGGTGACCAAGGAAGAAGTAGCGAAGCTCAATGCGGGCACGATCACCATAGGAGACATTGAAAAGAAGCTAAAGTCCTATCTCCATGGGTCTACCTGCATTGCTGGGGTCTATGACGAAGCCAACGACCGAATTATGCCCTTCTATCAGGCAATGAAGGAAGGCCTGCTCATGAGGGGAACCACCCTGGAGCTTCTTGAGGCTCAAGCAGCTTCTGGCTTCATTGTTGATCCAGTGAACAATGTATTTTTGACAGTAGAAGAGGCCACAAAGAGAGCCCTCATAGGAAAAGAGTTTCAGAATAAGCTTTTGTCAGCGGAGAGGGCCGTAACTGGATACAAAGATCCATCCACGGGAAAGATAATCTCCCTCTTCGAGGCTATTGAGAAAGATCTGATTGAGAAAGGTCATGGAATCCGTCTTCTGGAGGCCCAAATTGCCAGCGGTGGGATAATTGACCCCAAAGGGAGCCACCGTATTGATGTTCCTGTTGCCTATAAAAGGGGATATTTTGACGAGGAGATGAATGAGATCCTGACGTATGAAGGTGATGACACAAAAGGGTTCTTTGACCCCAATACTAAAGAGAACCTGACATATCTTCAACTTAAGGAAAGGTGCATGACAGATAGCAAGACAGGCCTGATACTTCTGCCGCTGAGAGACAAGAACAAGTTGCAGAAGACACAGGAAAGCCGCAGCAATGTCCTGCGCAAGAGGCGAGTGGTGATCGTTGACCCAGACACTGGGATGGAGATGTCAGTGAGGGAGGCCTATCACCGTGAGCTAATTGACTATGACACCTTCCTGGAGTTGTCAGAGCAGGAGGGCGAGTGGGAGGAAATAACTATGAAGGATTCGGATGGCTCCACACGTTTGGTGATAGTGGACAGGAGAACAGGAACCCAGTACGACATCAATGACTGCCTTAAACGCGGTGTCATCGACCAGAGGTCTTTGGATCAGTATCGCGCCGGAACACTTACATTGAGCCAGTTTGCCGACCAAATCACAAGCAGAACCAGCAGCATAGAAATGAACATTGCGGCCAGCAATGTTGATGACATGGTCACCTGCAGCAGCCCCACCCAGCTCGCGCCTTCTTCTCCTACCGTTCGTAAACGCTTCAACAGTATTTCGATTACAGTTTCTCCCCCCGAGATGTTCGATGACCACAGCCCCGTGGCGGCGATATTCGACACAGAAACCTTGGAGAAAATTACTTTGTCTGAAGGACTCCAAAGAGGCATCGTTGACAGTATCACAGTGCAGAGGATGCTCGAGGCCCAGGCATGCACCGGTGGTATCATCAACCCCAGCACTGGTGAGAGGCTGTCTCTGCAGGACGCTGTCCATCAGGGCATCATCGCTGACAGCATGGCCACCAAGCTGAAAGCTGCCCAGAAAGCCTACGTTGGTTTTGAGGACGTGAAGACGAAAAGAAAGATGTCTGTAGCAGAAGCAGTGAAGGAGACATGGTTGCCCTATGAAGCTGGCCAGAGATTTTTGGAGTTCCAGTACCTGACCGGAGGCCTGTTAGAGCCTGGCTCTGGGCGTCGCATCACCATCGAAGAAGCAATCCGCAGAGGTTGGCTGGATGGTCAAGGGGCCCAGAAACTTCAAGATACACGGAAATATCTGAAGAACTTGACCTGTCCCAAGACCAAACTGAAGATCTCCTACAAGGAGGCCATGGACAGCTGCATGGTGGAAGAGAGCAATGGTATGAAGATGATACAGGCGTCCTCGATGTCCTCCAAGGGAATCAGCAGCCCTTACAACGTCTCGAACCCGGGATCTCGCTCGGGTTCCAGGGCTGGTTCTCTTGTCGGCTCCAGGAGTGGATCTCGCAGAGGCAGTGTGGATTATTCCTCCACTGTCAGCTATAGCTTCTCCTCCAGCAGTACCAGCGTTAGCACCAACACTCACACTTAACATGTATACACAACATAACAACAAATATAAATGTAGACTAGTTATTACAACCAGTACCGATGCAACATTAATACTTTTGTAATAGTTTGCTTTTCTAAAGGCTTTGAGATTTGGGGTGGTTTGTTACTTGTACTAAATCGGATTAGAATCATATTTTGCTTGAGTGCAGGTTTTGGTGTTTTGATGTTTCAATATTCAATTCAATGCAGAGTATAATACTTCTAGAATATATCTACTAAATACATTTATTTGTCATAGCTCATTTTAATATAAGGCTTTTTTAAAAATGTAACAATTTGTTTTTAGAAAGTATGCTTCCTCATCTTCTGCATCGACACAAAATCAAGTTTTCTTTTGTTTATTCCTGCACCTTGATTTAGGTAGTAGTCCTTCATTCATTAAAAAGGGTTTTCTTGATTGCAAATGCTAAAGTTGAAGTTAAAATACTGATTTGATAATGAAATAATCAACAATGAAAATGTTTTGCCACTAAAATGTTCTTTACTTAATAAAAATAAAGTTGTCACCACAATATTTGATTCATTTATTTGTCGTCTCATCTGCATTCAAAGCAGAAACAGTTCACTGCACGAGGAGGCAGCAGTGCCCATCTCTGCCTATAGATGGCGCTAATGGTTACGATAAAACCACAACTTCAGGCCTGAAGACAATTTAACCCAGCAGAAAGTACAAGTAGGGATATGCTACTGTAAATGTTTACGAAATAGAAGGTCATTTAACGAGCAATGCATCTCATTACTTTTTAAAACGTGATAATCATGGTCTCAAATATACATGAATAAATATTGCTTATTAATATAAGCAAGCGAGGAATAAGTTTATATTGTGACCTAATGATAATAAACCGCGTATACTTGGATGTTGCATTCAGCCCAAACAGGTCCGACATATGAAGTGATGTGGATCAGCACCTCTGTGACACCGAATTACTCAACTCTGCTGCTGCGTGTGAGGAGCGAGCATGTGAACAAATGGAGGCATGCACATGGGGGGAGGTGGAAGGGGGAGGCATGCACATGGGGGGAGGAGGAAGGGGGAGGCATGCATATGGGGGGGAGGTGGAAGGGGGGAGGCATGCATATGGGGGAAGATGGAAGGGGGAGGCATGCATATGGGGGGAAGATGGAAGGGGGAGGCATGCATATGGGGGAGGAGGAGGAAGGGGGAGGCCTTGCATATGGGGGAAGATGGAAGGGGGAGGCATGCATATGGGGAAGATGGAAGGGGGAGGCATGCATATGGGGGGAGGAGGAAGGGGGAGGCATGCATATGGGGGGAGGAGGAAGGGGGAGGCATGCATATGGGGGGAGGTGGAAGGGGGAGGCATGCACATGGGGGGAGGTGGAAGGGGGAGGCATGCATATGGGGGAAGATGGAAGGGGGAGGCATGCATATGGGGGGAGATGGAAGGGGGAGGCGGCCCGACCGGAGCAGGGTGGGAGGGGGACGATCCCGTGCCAGGACTTGTGGCGGCTGCAGCGGCAGCACCGACTGGAGGAAGTGCGCTGGGGGGGCGGGTAGGGGCCGGCAGAGGGGGAGGGAGGGAGACGGGGGGGAGCTGAGCAGAGCAACAGGAGCAGCAGTTCAGAAACCCGGCGAGGGCTTCAAACGTCAACGGAAGGACCGAGGGGAGCGAATAGCAGCAGCGGGAAATGCGCCTCCGAGCCCGCCGCACCACGCCCGCGTGACGGGCCGGGGACTGCTCTTCTCCCACCGACCAACGGGACAGAACCGGAAGAGTAACCGGGCCGCTCGGCCTCAAAGGTAAGGCTGGGCGTCGGAGCTTCTCCGCGGCCGAGCATTTTGCGCGTCGGGGTGGTCGGTGCTAAAAGGAAGACACTGCTGTAGAACTCTGGTCCTCTTTCCTGCCTCTTCTCTGCAGCTCTTCATCGAGTCCGCTCCGGTATTTAACGCGCTAAACGGGGAGCTGCTTTCTGTATTTACTTTGGCTCCTGCTACAACCTGCGTGTGCGCGCGCGCGCGCGTGTGTGTGTGTGTGTGTGTGTGTGTGTGTGTGTGTGTGTGTGTGTGTGCGCGTGCGCGTGTGTTGGAACTCACAGACGGATCCATTCAAACGGTCCCGTCACTAATCTCGAGATTTACTTTTGGGGTTTAATACGTGAATGAGTATTATTTTTAAACTCCTTCCTCTCTTTTTTTTAAAAATCCAGCTTTTAAACGCTTCTTCCTCAATGAACTGCTCTGTGTTTTGCGATGGCTATAATTTGGGGGTTCCTTGCAGTTGTGGGCTCGGGTCTGCTGGTCTTCTGTAATGTGAAACACATGGGGTCCTTCTTGTAGCAGAGATGAAAAGGCCTTTGGTGCCTGTCTGGACAAATGATGGAGATAAACGATGGAAACGATGCTCGCCGGGGGCGATGCCTTCCTCGGCCGCCGTTGTTGATGGCGGCCCGTCTTCACCTGAACACCCGTCCCTCAATCGCCTGGAAGTCAGACGCACACCTGCATTTACAGCCTCTCAGCGCCGCACCTTTCTTCCCGCCCACATGCACCGTGCAGGTTGTCCTGAACATTTTGCAGGCTAAACTCTTTCAAGATTAGCTTTAATTACAGGCCCGGCGAGAGAGGAGAAACGTTTTCTTTTCTTTTTTCAACCGGCAATTACAGCTTTTGTTGGCGGTTCTATTTTGAGGTGGTTCCTCTGAAGGATATGTGGCCCCTCAAGGTGAAAGCGCTGTGACAGAAGCCCAGAGCGGCAGGCGGCGCGCTCAAAGGGCCCCGGCGCCGCGACGGGCTGGTGCTGTGGTTTGGACAGGTGGGTTGGCAGAGCGTCGGCCCCCGGGACACAGGACGGGGCTCCTGGGGCCATTTCACTTTGTCGCGGCAGACATGTGTAAGCCATTGAAGAAGGAAGAAGGAGAGAAGGAAGGACAATGGAAGCAATAGAGGGGAGGAAAGGAAAGATGGAGGAAATGAGAGAGCGAGAGCGGGAAGGTAATCCGTTTTGGAGCGCTTTCCACTAACGGCCTTGAGATAAAAACAACGGTAACGAGGGAGCACTTTAGCAGACATGAGGGGAGGCCATTTGTATTTCCTCTTCAATATCCCATGATAATATGGGACAAATACGGGGCCGAGTACTACGCCGTTTGTGACAAAGGTGCTGATGCTGTCGCGGGTTTGGGGCCATTCGATGTGAATGCAAAATATCCGCTGGGGGGCTGCAGACGGGAAAATGGCAGGAAATCAAACTGTTCTGGTTGCACAACCCCTGTCATGTGATGGGGGGCTAAACAGGCGTGACTTGTTCTTCCCGTGTGCCGGGCAGTCAGCAAAAGAAAGTTGATCTAATACTTAAACACTCAAAATGATTTGAAAGAGATTCTAACCGAAGTCTCCCTGCAGAGCACCAGACGTCTGGAAGCGGTTACTTCCCTTCAGGTGTTACTCAGGTTTGCACACACAAATCAATCCGGCGCCTCCGCATTGGATCTTTATTTCTGAAGATGCACAACGGTCCTACATGTCGGGTGGAACACGCTTTGTCACCGTAACCCGCGCGTCTATCCAGCGCTGCTGTGTGAACCAGAGAGTCTTTTCTTTTCAACTTCAGACACGTCATTTCGGTTAAATAGACTTAATAGAAATAATCATAAAATGGAGGGAAGTGTCACAACACGTCAATCTTAAACTAGAAGCTGGAGCTGACGGAAGCGACCCGGTCGGAGTGTGAATGGGGGGAAGCGAGGCCTTGCTTGCTTTCATGTGCGCGCAGGCGTTGTGTTTATGGACATTGTAGTTTTCTTTAAGTGACTTAAAACACTCTGCATGTGTTACTAATTTGCTGGCCGTCTATTTAATGTGGAATAGTCGATCAGATGGATTTCAATGTGGGAACAACACGCTGAAGTTGGGTTGCTGCAGCTTCTCACATATTAAATGTACTTCTACTTCCTGTGATGACAATTTCAATTTGTATTTTAGAAATTTTACAAACCAAACATTAAATAAAAATACATTTAAAAAAAAGCTGCTCCTATATTCCCATGGCTTTAAAATGCAAACCACTTGAAAAGGGGTTGAGTACACGTGGTATACCTGCGTAGTCCCATACATCCCTGCAATGGAAGCATCATCTAATGCCAACTATACGTTCCGTCTTCTAGTCCAAAAGAAGACATGTGATGAAAGCAAATAGACCAAATTCTCAAAAATGAGCATGAGAAAGTGTTTTTGATTTAGCAAGAGTATCTATTTAGTCTTCCACTGGTTTATAGAAATATGTGAAAGCAATCTGCACAATGAACGCCGCACCTGAATGGCTAATGGAAAATACAGCCAGGGAGCACGCAGACATGTAGCAACCAGCCTAATCGCATAAAAACAAACTTTGGGGTAAATACTTGTGTTGCTGTGTCTCAACCCCAGGCTGGGGAGAGTCTGTATTATTTGGGTGAGACAAGCATGCAATGTTTTTGCCAACTGCTGTCACCCCAGTGGGCTGAAAAATGAAAACAACTATGAGATCACTGTTCACATGATGAGACTGTGATTTACCCCACAGACTCTGACTAACTGATGTCTGCATCTTGAGACCGTACGACGCGGCCTGCTCTCATCCCGGGGCTCACCTGCTCTTACAAAATGAACGATTCCATATGAAATGCGCCGGGTGAGGAGTGTGGCCTCTGAAATATGAACAGGCCTCGTCCCCGGACTTCGCCTCCCCATTCCAGCGTCCCTGCGTTTCGTGCGTGGGTGGAATGTTTAATCACATCGGCCCAGTGATGGTCATGCATGTGTGAATGTCTCTTGACGGCACTCGTGCAGCTTAGTCAAGCTGCTGCCTGCCAGGGTTCGAGCTGGGGGAGCCAGACACACCCTAATCCCCCAACATCCTGACCTCCGTAAACCTGTCGCTGCTTGTTCGAAGTAGACCAGGTAACCCGTTCACTCCGATCTCACAGCCAAGCCACGGCTCCTCTACCAGCCGCGCTCTCCGAGTGCCCCTGGGTGGGGGGGGGGGGTTGGGTTCCTTGGCACTACTTATTCTCCCTTTTGTGAGATAATGCTGCGCCTCAAACCAGGAACAAAAGCGGTCGGTGTAATTTAAAGAGCATTTATCTTTGGTGCGTGCCGGGGCAAGCTCGTGTTCGCTGGGAGAAGGGAGAGGTCTAGTAGGGGAGGGACGTCTGCTCAGCCACGGCTTTCATTTGAGTTGGGTGAAACCTTGATTTCTTTTGGCTCAGTTACCTTAAAAGGTGTTATGACCTATTAAGCTTGTAGAAATTGAGCTTGTTTACTGCTGGTTAGCTCGAATCGGCATGGCAACTGGAAACCGCCAGCTTGGATCCGTCCATCGCATGTCAAAAGGTCACAGCAGCACGTCCCAAAAAGAAAGTATGTTGTGGTTTTAGGAGCCTCACCTTTTCTTGGCGTGAAAATAAATCCGCAGGATGTCATGTATCACACTTACATGATACTTAACTGTGGATTTCTTGGCGGGTTTTGTTACCTGCTAACCAGCCATCGGCAGTAACGTTGGCTCATCTTTTCTTTTCATGCAACAACGCATATTCCCAAAATGCCAAATTTGAATACGTCTGATCTTAACGTACCGAACCAAGTGAGCATGTAAGGTTTTGGTTGGTAAGTGTTGGTTAGGCGACCCTCCCCACCTCCAGCTGGCGCAGGAGTCTGACACCTCCTTGACAAAGGCTTCTCTCTGCCAAGGCACCGGCCGGGCCTGTTCATTCATTTTCCATTAGTCAACAGTTTTCCTCTTAAAGTCTCAGGGAAAATAGACTAACCCGCCATTAGTTCCAACAATCCCCGAGGACCTCTTCTCCCCCCCCCCCCGCTGCTTCCACCACCTCCACCAACAGACGCACAAACCCCCCGGCCTGTTTCCCCCAGCGATGACCTCTTCATACACACGGCCTCTTTCATTCCGCTCCCAGAGTTGGTTTAAGCTGTGGCCACGCTGTCCGTGGTTTATGGCTCCCGAGCGTTGGGCTGCAGCCTGCAGACACCTTCCTCCCTGCATTGTTCAATCACAACAAACAAGTGCACTTATTCACGGAGGAGGATGATATCTATTGATCGAGCTCTGTTCATCAATCATCTCGTACAAATGATTAACACAAATGTGGATTTGTAGTTTTTTATTTTTGTTTTAGGACTTTTTCTGGCTCAGTCAAAGAGTAGGATTAGTTTTTTTTATTGACATAAATATAATGGATTATAATAATATATAAAGTACAGAATAGAAAAAAGCAACAAAATAACTATATAAACCTATAAAAAGTATTCTAGAGCATTAAACTGAAAAACACAAGTACCCACACAGTTGCACTTCAACTAATGCAGCTGCAAATAAAGTGACAAGTTTAAGATGTACAATATTATACCCTCGGCTTTGACCGCTTACACCAGAAAAACGTATTCTATTTACTTGATCATGTCTGTATGAATATAGAGACACTAAACAGCACATAAAGTACAGTACACCCAGGGAACATTCAGTATTCTATAGTCCAGCAATATAGCACATAAAGTAATATATAGTATGATTACATATATGTTATGAATAATAGTGTATTGTATCTGATTTAGTCAGTACACAGATTACTGATGGAAACCGTTTGTTTGACCCATAGAATTGAGTGGCAATCAGCCGCTGTTTGCTACTCTATACAGAAATGACTGGGATAGAGAATACGGGATGTGTCTGTGGTATTTGGGGGGGGGGGGGACACCTCCTCTCTCCAGACCAACGAGGCAGGAAGTGCCATAAGGTCACAGGGACACGCCATCACACAGGGATTTACTCCAACTGGTTCTATCCGGAATTATTTGAACGTTTTTTTGTCTCTGTCACATTTATGCTCCTACTGACGGACGTTGCTCGGTGGGGACGGCGGGGGGACGGTGGCGGGGGGCGGGGGGGGGCGTCTATCACTGCACTCTATATCTTTTTGCAGCGGAGATAAATTGCACTAATCTCTCACATGTTAAAAAGCGGAGCTCTTGATTTTAACAAGTACAGTGATTGTGACACAGGCCGTTTCTGTACAAACAAGACAAACCTGTGTCATACAATCGGGACTTGAGGTCAATCTCTAAAGATATCTGCGGACACGATGACTAAGAGGACTTTGACCGCCAAATATTGACTTGAGCAAAGTGAGCGGCTTTAAGTGGGAACGCTGTGAGGTCACTCGTGTCTCTGCTGGCTTCTTGTCAACAGGAAGCCCCAACGTTCACCATGGAGGAGGGATACGAACTGGACCTGACGTACATCACGGAGCGCATCATCGCCGTGTCCTTCCCCCGCGGGTGCACGGAGGAGATCTACTCCCACAACCTAAAGGATGTCACGCGAATGCTCAAGTCCAAGCATGCAGACAATTACCTGGTCAGTGCTCACCTGCGCGCCGACTCGCCTTGAAGTGTCGGGGCCCGGCGGGCTGCCACGAGTCATTGACCTCCGAGCGCACGGCGCCTCTTTCGCTCACGCGAGAGACAAGTTAAATCAGAAGGCATTGACATTATAAATCACTGGCTGTTGTCTTTTTAGATTATCAACCTGTCGGAGAAGAGACACGATCTCACCAAGATGAACCCGAAGGTGAGTTCGCATGTAGCGTGTTATCTGCAAAAATAAACTCAAAGAGTTCACCGTGTCATAGAAGAATGCGTGGATCAATATCCACGAGCTTGGGAAACAACGGACGCTATTTGTTTTCGATGGTGAAATGTGTGTCGATCCGTCTCCGTGCTATTGATCGGTATCGCGAAGCTGTACAGACCGCTACTCTGTCTGTCTCTCAGACGCTGGATACGGGCTGGCCGGACATGCACGCTCCACCTCTGGATAAGATCTGCACCATCTGTAAGGCCATGGAGAGCTGGCTCAATGCCGACCCCTTACACGTGGCCGTGATCCACTGCAGGGTGAGCATCTCTTCTTTGTTTTTCTGTGCGTTAAACACATTTAGTGGCCCTGAAGGAATATATGACGGCCCTTTTCCAAACTAGACACTTCCACACGACGGCTTGGTGCCGTGTGAGATAACCAATGCATTTGACCGAAATGGCTGTGTTCATGAAGGGACGCCATCAATGGCGATGGCAGAGAAGGTGATGGCTGCGTACTGAATCGGCTCCTCTCTCGTTTCTGCAGGGAGGCAAGGGTCGAATCGGCGTGGTGATTTCCTCCTTTGTGCATTTCACCGACGTGTCAGCCAGGTGAGCGCCGCTGTGTGTCGCATTTCTCTCTTGCCCGGTTACCATAAATCTCGTTGCCGTGTGAGTGTGCCCACTCGCCGACAACGCACAACCCCTCCGAAAACCACAAGAGATGCCAGTGCCCGACCACAACTGCTTCACCTGCTTCGATTTTGTGCGAAGTGATTCACAGAGTGAGTCAAAGAAAAGTCACTTCTCTCAAATTCCAAAAGGGAACCCAAACCATGAAGGCCGGGATGAATCAGCCGTGTTGAATTGCATGATTCATCTGTGAAACATGTCAGATGGCGTAGTAGCTGCTGGCCACGGCTTCCCGCTTGGTGAAATCTGATTCTCATGTTCCAGCCACTGTGGCGGTCGGAGCCCTGCAGTGGAGGAACGCAGAAATCCTCACCAGAGGTCGACCTGCTGCTTGTGGCCCTCTGCAGAGCCCCCCTGCACACATTTTACCCCCCCGCCCGCCGCGCCCCGCTGGGTAAGACCCGGGTCACTGGGGCAAACGGGAAAGACGCAGGGCACAAAGAGGCGGATCCACCGTGGAACAGACTGGTGGGCGGAGGGAGAGGAACGGAGCGCCGGTGAAAAGGCCCCGCGGCTTGTTGGTTTTAGGGCCGTCTGAATAGCAGAGCTGTGCACACACTCTGCCCCCCCCCCCACCCCGTGTTTACTTTAGGCTGGTATTCTTTCCTCTCTGCTAGAATCCCGTCTCTCCGCTGACTTTCACTCTTGTCCATTGTGCGTGCGTGTGTGTGTGTGTGTGTGTGTCGTCCCAAATTGAAGTTTGGGGAGAACGCCGTTCAATTACACGGCAGCAGAGTGTAATCTCCTCCCTGAGTCATGATTACCTAAAGTGTTTAATGCGTCTCACTGTCTCCCACAAAGTGCTGATCAGGCGTTGGACCGCTTCGCCATGAGGAAATACTACGACGACAAGGTCTCCGCTCTGATGACGCCGTCACAGAAACGGTGAGACGGGACGGCAGGAAGCCCGTCCTCGCTGCCCGCAGGCGTCTCTCGCCGCATGTTGGAATGGCTGCATGTCCTTTTTAAACATGCGGTTGCAGATTTGATTCTGTACCAAAACCCAATTTTCAAACAGATTTGATTCTGTTTGATTCTGTAGTTTCTGTACCAAAACCCAATGATGATAGCGATATTTTGCTGTGAGGAAATTATACATTCGTTTAATGAAAGAAGCTGAAGTACTGAAATGTTAACTGTTGTTAAAGCTGCTCGACTTCACTCGAGACGAGAGAGCGGTATTCGTCTTTCCATCCAACCATCTCATCTAATAGGGAACAAGGGAATTTTCCAAAAGGATCATCTATTGGTGTGAGAGAACAAGTCTTGATTAATGTCATAACAATGACACCAGGTTCATTTAGTGTAGTTGTTGTCCTGTGTGGGATCCGGTCTAATAGTGGGGATTAAAGGCCTGTGTATCTCTGCCGTGTGATGCATCTAACTGTGAGCAGTCTTTTTGCTTTAGAGTTCCTTTTAAACCCCGAGTTGGTGTGAGATAATGTGTGATTTTAAATAATGACCCCAAGTAACATCCACTTTGTCCTCTCATACCAGGTACGTTTGGATCCTCAACAGTCTCCTGAGTGGATCCATGAAGATCAACGCCTCGCCCTTGTTCCTGCACTGCGTCATCCTTCATGGGATCCCAAACTTCGACGCCACCGGAGGTTTGAACTCTCATTGTTTACCACTACACACAGCTGCAACTCCCAATGAAATACACCCGCTGCCACCATGGCGACAGAAATAAGCCAGACACGACCACATCAGAGCCGGAGCCGGAGACGTATCTCTTCTTTCTCTGTGCTCAGACAGAAAGAGGAATTGAATTGTCGGTGCACTGGAAAACATTTGTTTGACGGTGTCTTTTCTTTTTGTCTTGGTTTCAGTGTGTCGTCCGTACATCAAGGTCTACCAGGGAATGCAGACCGTGTATTCATCTGGGATCTAGTGAGTAGCTCACACATGTGGCCCAGTGACTTGTTTACTTCACAGGATACTGGAGTACATCAAAGCCATTTTCTCTTTTACTGACTTTAATGCAGATTTTCAGTTGGGAGTTACTGCTTTCTGTAAATCTCCCTGATTGCTTCCAAACTCGGGCTCCGCTTGACTCACTTCCCCGTTGTTTTTCGTTGCAGCCACATCGGTCCGGCCCACAGAGGCCGCGTGTGCATCACCCTGGAGCCTGCCCAGCTTCTGAAAGGAGACATCATGGTAGGGAGAAGAATGAGTAATGATTAGCCCCGTCCCACGTTCTACCGTCACTGTTCCTTACAGCGAGCACCATGTTATACATGTCCCCCTCGCAGTTTAAAGGCTATCACAAGAGTGCGGTGCCTTCTGAGCGGAAAGTGGTTTTCCGGGTGCATTCCCACCGGGAGGCAGGGCAGGGCTACACCCTGATGTTTGAAAAGAGGGCCCGGAGGCCCCCCACCAAAGGTAGTCGCGGGGGGGGGGGGGGGCGCGGCGCAGGTCTCAACGTGCTGCTGTTTAGTTTACGACGACTCCGCTGGGCTCTTTGAGACCAGTAATCGTCTTTTGTTGAACGTGTTGTGAGAGAATCCCATTCGCAGACGACACCATCCGTCCTTCCGCTTGTGGAGGAATGAACGGCCACTAATGGTGTGTGTTTACATTCCAGATCCCAGGTTTGCGGATTACGGCAAAGTGGAGCTGGTGTTCTCCGAGGGACCAGAGAAGATCCCAGGTAGAGTCCCAACTCTTTAGTCCTTGGAAATGCGGCGGAGGGAGGCGCTGTCCTGTGCTCCTTGCCTCCCCCTCTGCCCCCCCGGTGAGAAGGGAGGTGGAATGCTGCAGAGGGGAAATGTAGTGTGAAGTGTGTGCTGACAGAGGGGTAAGGAGGCCCAGCATGTCCCGGCCCAGAGCTCCACAGGAGGGACACTATGCTGTGTGGCTCTGTGGATGTGTTGAAGACATCTGGTGTTTTCTCCAATACATTAGTTTAGGGAATCGTGCCGCTTGTTGGCAGAGAGTTCAATGAAAACATCACACATCTGTCCTGTGAATATGAAGCTACAGGCAGAATATAGTTGGCAAAGACCAGCAAACCGCAGCTCATAATCAACCCCATATTTCATCTTTAACAAAAGAAAAAGGATAAAAATACCCCTCGACGCACGTTACTTTATCATTTAATACGTTCAGGACTGACCAAAGTGATGCAATGCCACTGAAATTTTACAGGAACATAAAATGATTGCTCAACCCTGACTCCGTCCACGAAAGACATAACTAATAATGACAAATGCCGTTTTATAAATCTCTTTTGAAAAGGGGAAAAACAGAAACGTGTTATTTTTTTGGATCCAGGTGCTGTCAGGTGGCAAAACGGGGCAGATGTTATCGTGGACTACAACACCGCAGATCCTCTCATCCGCTGGGACTCCTACCAGAACATCTGTGATGGTGAAGGTACATTCATGACCGTGCATCAGTCGCCGCGTGGCTCACAGCACCAACGAATCAACATGGCCGTTTTGTGATGGGAAGCCGTGTGCAAACACGTCATTTAGACATTAAATCCTCTGTTACACACACACACACACACACACGCGCTCTGTTTTCCTCTCAGGGAATTAACGCAGCGTGACGGGTCACTGCATTGACATGCTCACACTGTCCCCACTCACTTGGTGTCTGTCGCAAGGGTTCGCAAACAGGACGTTATGGCTGAAAAGTGGAGACGAGACTTTTATTTTGGCGAGGGAAGGACACGCAGGGGTTTTTTTCTGCGTGAGGGACATGGAGGAGTGTTGTTGTATGTGGGGAATACTGGTTACGGAAGGGAGAGGTTTTTTACTTGTTGTTTCATCAAATGAAAAGGCACGCTTTAACCATCCCACACACACACACACTCTTACTCACGCCTGCACAGACACACACACTGACTCACACTCTGAGCCACCCTGTTGGGACGTCCCGTCCTGGATGCGGTTGTTGCTCTCCACTCAACCGCAGAATTCACAAGCTCCCGGAATAGAGCGACGCGGCGGTAGCTTCGCAGCACAGATCCTCCCTTTTCCCAGGATTCATTGAGGGTTTTTATAAGCGACGTTCAGCTTGATGAAAATCAGCTGGCTTTTTTTTTTTTTTTCTCCTTCATTTAAAATCCCCCGACACATCTATATATAATTTAACGCACACCTCTGGTAATGCAGAACTAAACCCTAACCCCATTTAACAACTCAAAGCCAAGCACTCATATTAACAGAGGAGCGTTTTCTTGCCTCGAGTCCTGAAGCGCTCACGTGGGATTTTTACCGCCGTGCTTTCTCATGTAAACGCCACATCCGAGACGGGGAGTTTTGTTGGAATTCTGCATCTACCCACCACCCGTCCTGCAGGGGCCCCGTTTGACTCCGAGAGGCTGTCACTCAGAGGAGGAAGTCTGCAGGACGTTTGCCACTGTGGTGAAAAGACAACCTCATTTACTTCAATGGCCGAGTGTGTGTGTTGGTCCCCGCGTGCGAATGAAGACTTGATTTCTAACCGATTGCTCTTCCAGAAAGCTTGTTTGCCTCGGTTTACTGTCAAAGCGGGTCGCCGTCTGGTGCTGCGGAAATGTGCCGATTGTTTCCTTCCCGCGTAGCCGCGCAGATAGCGTGCGGCGTCTGGTTGCCCTGCGTTCTGCTGTCACATTACACCTACAGTAAAGTATTTACCCCCCTTGGACTTTTTTTTTCCATTTCGTACTCTTACAAACCGGAATTCTGCTTGAATTAATGAACTTTTCCCCATTTAAGCAACACAACATGCATTATACTTTAAAGGGACCTTTCATCGCGGCGTCCTGGCGTCGGTACCCTCTGCGTCGTTTTGGGGGGGACGTCTCCCGGAGATGGAAATGTTTCCTCTTGGCCATCAGGCCGATGGAGACGGAGTGTGAGCACCGGTTCTCGGTGGGGTGGAGCTGATGAAGCCGTTGTAGCTCCGGCTGTATGTTTGCGCTCAGCGCTGCTGAGGAAAAGCTTCGGCGCAGCGAGATGCACCGCTGGTCAGTCTGCTCGTCCCGCCTTCTCTTTCTCTGTTGTTTCATATTCTTTCCCCCTTTTGATGATTATGGTGCTCTAAAATCTTCAACGCGTGGGACATTTTTTTTACAGCCTGACCCTGTTTCATACTTTATTCCCCGAGCTTCACTGAAGAGGTTTATTTATACTGAGAATAAACTGCACACAATTGGATCAAATTGAACATATTGAAATGTAACTTGTGAAGGCAAATGGTCGCACCAGATCTTGTTAGGGGCTTTACAGTAAAAGGGGTGAATACATAGGTACTCAACGCTTTTCAGATTACTTTTTGAAATCCATGTAAACTTCCCCCGACTTCCAGATGATGGAGTATTTTGTGTTTGTCCATTACATAAAATCCCAGTGAAATAAATGACATGACAAAATGTAGAGAAGTCCAAGGGGCGGTAAATCCAGTCAGCTCAAGGCTCCTTTAAAACAACCGCTGCTCCTAAATGAACTGTACTGAGAGACCGTGTCATAACCAAGAAAAGTTGCTAAAAAAAAAAAAAAGAAGACAACAGCTGTTGAGCCAGAACATAGCACGCATCAGCTCGGGTCTCACCGCCATCGGCCCAACTTTTCACGCCCCGCTTTGGCATGCGGGGCGCGCAGGCGGCGGCGTGGTGTCTGTGAAGGAATGGCAATTACCCGTACGCGGTATAAGAACCTCCTCCCGCGACAGCAGCTCGAGGAACGGTTCTGGTTCCGCCGGCTCGTAATCGTGGGATTATTCAGGGACCGGCCACAGCGGCCGACGTGACGAATGCGGGATTTAAAAGGTTTGACTTAAGATGGAACACACTCGGTTAACCATTTAATGTGAGCGTAACCCTGATTGGTGAAGCAGGTCACTAAACCCCCCCAATCTGCTTCTTATTGTCCCTGAGAACTGCAATCTGAAAAGAGGGCGAGAAAAAACAACGTCGGCTTCTGCTTCTCTCCAAGTACAAGGCGAGGATCGCTTTAATTAGAAAGGGTCTTTTTTCCAGAGAAGGTCTGAAGCTGCAGGAATGTGTTTTCCTCCCTCTGATCCTCTCCGGCCTCCCTCCCTCCCTCCCTTCCCTCCCTTTCTTCTCCCCAGTGGGGTAGTCCCCTAATGCAGGGCAGGAGGTCGGGTTACGGCTCTCCTCCGGCCCGCCTCCGCCCCTAAGCCCCGCCCCACTTGTTTACATTCCTCTGCCCTTATTTGGAGGTCTCAAGCCCCTCCCCCCTCTCTGTATGGAGTGCAAACACTCGCACCTCCTCAGCAGAGGCAGGAAGCGAGTGGCCCACATCTTGGCGCTGTGTTGATTGGACCCTGAGCGGTATCTGCTGCTTGGAGGCCCGTGTCCGCTCTCCGGCGCTCTCCTGGCCTCTTCTCCTCGCCGACTTCTGTTTTCCCCGACGCTGCGATTGTCTCGCGTGCTCACCTGGCGGCCGAGGTAGGAGATCTTTTTTTTCTTCTGCTCCTTGAGAGGAGCTGGGCGGCCGCGAGGGGGAGGGAAAGGAAAAGGGAGGCAGCAAGGTGACAGGGGTGAGATGGAGAGGGGGAGGGGCAAAGGGGGAAACATCTGTCCTTCTTGGACAGACCTTCTTGCACCTTACTGGCAGGAATGTTACCAGGCGGATTTCTTTTTCTGGGAAAACTCTGTGGCAGAACTGACCTGCATGGAGGCCGGATGCAGGGCCAACTAGCGCGTGTCTGTGAGGGGGGGGGGGCAGCCAGCATACATACGGGAGCTTCTGGAGAGGAGGAGGAGGAGGAGGAGGAAGAAGCCATTATCATGCGTGTCCCGTAGTCAGATCAGGGTTTGACTGGCTGGTCCAGAGCAGGTTGAGGGAGAATCTCTGCAGTCATGTTCTAACTCTCCCCTCCGGCCCCCCGTAGGCGGGAGTAGAGGCTCGGCCAGATTCCTGCTGCTTCCCCCCGGTCTTCCTCGTAATTGGTGACCGACTTATCTATGTTTTGTTTTTTTCTTTCACTTCTGAAGATTGAGGAGGTTGTTTGGACGTATGCTTGGGGGGGGGTCGGGGGGTACAAGGAAGGAGGTGGCTGGCGTCATGGCGGCAGGGTGAGGAATGCAGGGGGTCAGACGCTGAAGATCCACAGCCGGCCGGCTCACGGGACTTAACATCTATTATGTCACCGCCTTCCGTCGGAGGGGCGAGGCGTTGCAGACGCTGGCCGTGGTCACGGCAGGATGCGTGGAAGCCTGCGTGTTAGAAACAGGGATGTGAAAAAGACGTTTGACTTCACAGATTTCTTCTGTCAACGTGCTAATGTCTTAGTCATGCGTGTGCGTGTGCGCCAGCTGACCGTATGAAGCGCTGCGTCTCTTCTGTTTTTGCAGCCCCGCCCTCTCTTGGCCTAACGCGGGACGCAGCGGCGAACAAGAGGAGCCCCGGCGGAGGAGAGGCGCCGCTGGGCCGAGGGGCCCGCACCGCCTCCGCCACCTCCAGCCCCGACCACAGCGACCACGCCCTCTCCGTCAGCAGTGACTCGGGTCTGTCCAGCACTTCTCTGTGGGCGGACCGACCGGCCCCCGGCCCCGCCCCCGCCCCGCCCACTAACACCACCAGCAACACGGTCAGGCCCAACCAGGGCCCCAGCCAGCAGGAGAAGGTCCAGCTGAAGCGCCTTTTGAGTGGCTTCGGTCTGGAGGAACCCCCAGCGGGGGAGATGGAGGATCAGGTGCCCCGACTGGTCCTCCAGCAGATCGCCCCGGCGCGAGTCCACCTCAACGGAGAGCCCAGACCCCGGGAGAGGGAAACGGACATCCTGGACGACGAGGTCATCGCAGGTCACGACCTGCAGAGCGTGGACAGCTTGGGGACCTTGTCCTCCTCCTGCCACAAGAGCAGCCAGAACTCCCTGCTGTCGGATGGCTTCGGGAGTCCCGGGGGAGAGGAGCAGCACCACCCCCAGCAGCACCACCTCCAGCACCACCCGGCGCCCCCACTCGCGGAGGACTACGAGAGGGCCTACGCCGAGGCCAGAAGGGGCTGCTTGGGCTCCAGGAGCAACTCTGTGGCCACGGCTAATCCCGCCAGCGCCGCCGCCAAGCAGCACGTCTACAGGCAGGGCAGCTACTCCACGCAGTCGTGGGTGCGCCAGCAGCAGATGGTCGCCGCGCAGCAGTTCCTCTACACGCCCGACGACGGGAACGACGCCGAGGGGTACCCGGGGAGCAAGCCGGCGAGCGCCTCGGCCAAAGCCGGCCTGCACGCCGAGCCGCAGGAGGGACAGGCGACGGCCGCCGTCGTCAACAACAACAACAACAACAACAAGCGCGACGAGGAGTTCAAATCGCTGACCATGGACATCGACAACTCCATCGACCAGCTCAACCAGCTGATCATGGACCTGGATCCCACGTTCCTGCCGGTCTCCAGTGGCAGCGGCTCGCTGAAGAGGAGCGGCGCCAACGGCTCGCTGACCAACGGCATCGATCTGCGATTCAGAGACAACAACGCAGCAACGGCCCTGAAAAACACACAGCAGACAGGTAAGACCGTCCGAGTGTGGTGGTGGAGTTGATGTGGTGCTGATGATGATGATGATGTGATGAAGTGCGGCCGTGGAAAAAGAAATGGCCGTCGGGTTGTTTTGCTTCCTGCCAATCGGCCTTCCTCCTCCCTTCACTGCTCCTCTCCCTCTCCCACCTGGCAGAGATACTGGGGCTGTTGCCAGGTTTTTTTCAGATGTTTTCGGTGTGAATCTTTGGGGTAAAGTCCAGACTTGTCTGCGCAGCTATCTGAGCGGAGGATCAGCAGGGTACGTGGAGCGAGGCGAGCCGCCGCCGTGGACCCCGCTGAACGTGGCTGTGTACGGACGCATTAGGCGTTGGTCATCTCCAATAAACGCTCCTCACACTTCACTCTTATCGGCGACGCGTTCCCAGATGCGTTTTCTGAGGTCATGCAGCGTTGTGACGCCACAGTAAATGACCCTTAAACGATGTTTTTTTGGTGGAATCTGATTCTGAGAGATCTGAGAAGAACGAGGACGGATGCAGTCGAAACACGCTTCCAACAACAAGCTGTACAACTTTGTAGAAGATTGCAAAACTGCAGAACCCTTCACATTAGATTGGGCTCATTCTTCTCACAGGTCATCGGGCTTTAATATTCACACTAGAAAATCCCCTTCGCAGTCGTTTTTTGCCGTGAAGCAGGTGAGAAGCAGAGGGCCGTGTGCACGATGCATCACGTGGTTGCGCGCGGGGGGGGTGAGCAGGGGGGAGGGGAGGTGAGAAGAGGGGAGGGGGGGTCCTGAGGAATTTCCCAGGGAGGAACAAGTGAGGCCGGAGGCAATGTTGTTTTTTTTTTTTTCTCCATTCCAATCCAGACGCATACCTGTCTGTGCACATACCCCACAACTACAGGGCAGCGTCATCACGCCAGAAACCAACGCCGCAGGCGATCGCTTCTTTTCCTCACTCACAGATAACCTGCAGATTAATGCTGGTGCCTGTTTCTGTTTGCATCGGTGGACCAGAGTCTCTCTGCCGTGTTGTAGCATGAAGTTCGAGGGACGGTCATTTGTCACGAGGGCGGGCGATTATGTTTATGGATGGAAGTTTATGGATGATTCATTTGGGCTGTCGAGGTCGTACGTTTGCATCCATGATCTTTGTAACTAGACCAGTCACGCTTTTCATGCCCTTCCAGTCCCGTCGTTGCCCCGTGGCTCCATTTTGTTATTGTTGTAGGTGGAGGTGGGGGAAGGTTACAGTATGAACTGATGTCAGCTGACACATTCTTCATATCATCTCCTTCTTAAGGAACATGAATACGATATCCGTAAAATGCAACTAAAGGCCCTGTTTCCGTTTATATCATTATTCACATTAAAGTGCTTTTATTATGATCTTGGATCAAGTGGCTGCAGAGACGTCGACCACAGAGCAGCAGATTTTTATTGGATATTTGGATTTTATTATTGTTATTGCAGAAAATAGGTTTTATTGAGGCTTTTTGTTCAGCAAGATAACCTTCACAACTCGGCGTTTTTAGAATAATAAGCTTTACACTGTGGTGCATTTAGCCACTTAAAGGGATATTTATTATATTTTTGAACCAAATGGAAACATTTCTTAATCTTGTGACCTTCTATTAGGCATCAAACCTAAAACGTTTTAAGACTTGAATGTTGAATAAGTTTAAGGATCAACTTTTATATCACCATGTCATGGAAAATCACTTCTCCAGCTAGCCAACGTTAGCTCGCGTTAGCATTAAGTGGAGAGGATCTGACACAAGCAGGGGCCTTAAAGCAGGACCACCTCAGTGGAAACCATACTGTGTTTAACCGTTTATCGGGCGACTCGGATCGCGGCTGTATGTGACCGACGCGTCGCTGAAGATGAAACGGAAACCTCCAACGCTCAAATTAACACCCTGGTGCTGAGTGGCAGCACCTCTTTAGAGCAGTCCCAACATTGACCCCCACCAAACACCCCCCCAGACCTCCTGGTGTCCCTCAGCTGTCCTGGCGAGACATCGGCAGCGCCCTCTGACCGCCTTATGGACGAGCCGATGTCGGCGCTCACAGAGGATACCCGTCCAGGAACCGTCGCTCCCCGTTTGTCTGCTGATGTCACGGATCCCGTTGCCGTGTTTTGTCTTCCAGCTGTCTTCCGGGCCGGGGACGGACGGGTGGGCGCCGCGCGGACCCTGAGCTGCCAGAGGAGTGACGCCCCGGATCAAGCGGGCTTCTGTAGCTCGGCGTGGGCCGGGGCCGAGGAGTACAGCGACCGGCGGACGTACGCTCAGGTAAAACAAAAAACGCAGCCCGTGAGCGCAGCGGCGACGTCCCGCCCCCCCGTCCCGCCCCCTTTCGAATCGCTCCGTTTGGTCGGTGACTAAGTGTTGTTTTGCTTGTTGCCGCAGCAACCCTGGTTGTACAGGACGGACAGTGCCGAGTACCGGGCCCAGGGCTCGGAGATGGACAGCGGGGTCGAGGCTGGGAGTGACGTGACGCCGCCCACCCCGGCCTTCCCCATCTCTCCGCCGACGCCGTACGGTAAGTAAGAGCGTTCGCAGGGGCCTGTTAAAGGCCTGTTAAAAGTTAAAGTGAACTGAACGTCTGTGTCCTCGTGTCCTTTGTGTGTTCTCAGTGAAAAGTATGTCGGAATTGACTCCGCTCATGCAAACGCCGTCTGCCGGCACGCCGTTCTTTGGAGGCTACAGAACGGACCACGGTGGGTGTAAATCTGAATGCGCTGTTGGCGTCCATCGTGGACATTCTTCAAGCTGGTTAAAGTGGTCACTATTTATAACAGTAACCATGTTATCGTGTAATTTGATCACATATATTTCAAAAGCAGAAATGTCAGTCTGTTGTGATCTAAAAATACAGATATTCTGACCTTTTCTAGGCACTTTGTAACTTTAAGTGAAACTGTTGAATTTAGGACTCTGCTTTTCCATTGAGCCAATTAAAGATGCCGATCGCAAGATGTGTCGATCCGATATCTCATGAGAGCAAAGCCTTCTCAGGTCCCTCTGAGACTTGAGCCCCAAAACAAGCGCAGATGACTCATAAGAGTGAAAGAAGGGAGATTCCTGACCAGTCTGTGCTCCTCATGCTGGCTTTTTAGGGAATGTCTGTGAGGTCTGAAGAATTCTTTTCTATTCTATTCTTTTTTTTCCAGCTTTGATCTAAAGACAAAAACGGGGTTTTGTTTATTTTTGCGTGGCTAGTTTTCGTCTGTTGGTCTGAGGACGAGCACATCCGGCCCGTACGATCTATCCGAACGACAACTCATCACTGTAGCGCATGTTGTGTTTTGGCTGATTCCTCTCATGTACACAGGTACCTTTAAAATGACATGAAACATTTAAGGAGTAATCTGTGTGTTTTCAGAGCTCAGTTTATTTATCGTCATAGGAAAAGTCGTTTATTAATGTAACCTGTGGGTCACGAGAGGACTTTGCACCGTGTGTGTCTCTAAATCCCAACGCTTCATCAAATACGATCAGTGCAGAAGCTTAAGGGGGAACTATGTCAGCGTTGTCACAAAGCCCTATGGGAGTTTATGGGACTGGCCCATTGAAATACACCCTTCTGGCCAGTGGGTGCAGAAAGTAAATGAGTTCTGTTTTCTAAATGTGTTCAAACAGAAACACAAGCTTGCACTTGTCAGGAACGTCCCACGTGTTTTCCTTTCCAATCTACTGTGACCTCTCGTGGACTTGTTTCCACGCTGGAAGCAGAGCGCTGCCCTCAGGCGAGGCCTCCTCTCCACGTCTCCTTCGTCACAGTTGGTCAGGAGGCGCCTCTTCCTCCCCCATGAAAGAGTCTCTGTGCACACGCAGGGGAAATGCGCGTCTCTTCCTCTGGAAGTTTCCCACGTAGAAGTTGTCTCTGAAGCCGCCGTTGAAACGCGACCTTTCAGAATGGAGGACGATTGATTGATTGAAATAAAAGCTTTTGGATGATTATGTCTGAGGGCTTTTAATTTTCTGGCTGCGATGGAGCGTCTGTCTGTTGGCTCAGTGCTTTGTGGCTGCAGGGAATTGTCGTTTTTTGTAGATTGACGGTTTCATTTCACCTCCAGTATTGATTGTTTGTTAGTGGAAAGAAGCCAGAGCCCCCCGAGGGACTTGTTGACATATTTCACGGGTCATCTTGTTTACTCCCAGTTTATTATTGTTTTTTAGGTTCATTACGGTCGATGTTTAGTTTCAGGGTCAATGTCATCGTGTTTCCTTTCATTTGATTCAACATAATACAAACGTGGATGTGATCTGTAAATGTGAATCTCTAATTGTGATTTGTCTTCATGTTCTCACACAGAAGCCCGAGGATATTCAGAGACGGTCGGTCACGCTTTACCAGACTGCCACAGGACACTTGGTGCCTCAAACTCGAGCCACCAGTGGACAGACAGGTACAGATGTGTCCATTTTCAAAAGGGACAGCTGTCGATCGAGCGTATTTGCATCACTTTTACATGAGTTACTGTAGAATCCACGTTTTACACTTTGCACACAACTGAGGTGATTGAGGTGACTTTTTGTGGATTAATAAGAACACGATGTGACAAAGTGCTATTGTAACGTGAAGCATGTGACTTCAGCTCAACCGACAGCAACGCGACGGCAGATGGAGCGGTGTGTCACCTGAGCGAATAACGCTCCCTAAAGGACACATGTCCCAGGTGTCCGCTGGGTTTAGGGTTTAACTGGTGCTCCTCCCTCTCGATCAAAGAACTGGTGCCACCAACTCTTAGCTGTCTTAAAGATGGTGGACAGAAACACGCTCTGCTCGCGTTGAACGTTGTCCTGCTATTTAAACCCGACTCTTGTTCAGATCCTGTATGTTTGTTGTGTTTTAAGTTCATCGGCGAGCCAGTCCTGGCCAGAGCATCCCGTCCTGTCCCGCCACTCGTCCCTGAGCAGCAGACAGCCGCCGCAGCACTCCATGTCCCTGGACTACGGCCACCACTCTCCTCCCCCGCACCACCCGCACGTTCACCCGGCCCCCAACGGCCACAGCTCCCCGCGGGGCTGCGCGGCTCGCCACGCCCTCAGCCGCAGTCCGGCGCGGAGCTTCGACGAGCAGGACGGCTCGGCTCTCGGCTACGGCGCCGACGCTCCTTTGACCTTTGACGGGCGGATGCAGCCGCCCCACACGCAGGCCCCGCTTCTGCCCGAGAAGAAGAGGGCGTCCGGCGGGGAGCACTCCCTGGGAACGGCGTCCCCGGCCCCCAGCGGCTTCTCCAGCCCCCACAGCGGGAGCTCCCTGAGCATTCCCTTCCCCAGCGTGTTGCCGGACCTCTCGGCCCAGACACCGGGAACGGCCTCGCCTCTGCCGGGTGAGATACGCCCCCCCCCCCACGCCGAGCTGGTACCGTCACCAGTGGAGCATGAGCTGACGGTTTCTAATATCATTTCTGTTTGGCAGACGTACTGGCTATCAAGCAGCTCACGGTCAAGTTTGTGCAGGACACGTCAAAATTCTGGTACAAGCCGGAAATCTCCAGGGATCAAGGTACGTCAAAGTACTGAGAGAGACTTTACCCCATCGGGCCGACTCACTAATGAATGTCTCTCTTCACTCAGCCATTTTGGTGCTGAAGGACAAGGAGCCCGGGTGCTTCATCGTGCGGGACAGTCATTCCTTCAGGGGGGCTTATGGGCTGGCAATGAAGGTGGCGACCCCCCCGCCCTCAGTTCTCCAACAAACCAAGAAAGGTACGCCAACGTTGTCATGGGGATGCTTCTATACTACGGCTACTGAATTGGTTTAAAAAAAGACTTTGAAATAATGTCATTTAATAGTAACTGTTTGAATGAAGTCACGACGCGGTTAGCCTAGCTTAGCATAAAGACTGGAAGCTGGGGGACATGGATGACCTTTCTCTTCTGAAATTCAAGTGAATACGTGGCCAATAAGCCCGACGAGAGGCAGAAAAACTGCCTTTTCTCACCGCCGTGACGTGGCGTCACCGATCGGTCCGGTGGTGCAGATTCCCACAATCGCACACAAAGCCGTCTGCAGTTACGGGGCCGTGTCGCCCCGGTAGCCTTGTTGTTCGGCTCATGTTTCCGGCCCTAACAAAAGATGAGCCGGGGCCATGAACCTTCTCCTGGGAAGCCGTCTGCCCCACATCAGTCCCATCTGGACGTAAACCTCCAGTGGTCAAAAACAACATGGCTGCTTGCTTATTTACTTCCCAGTGTGTTTCTTCAGCGTAACCAGGAAACACTGGGACTGTTTTTTTTCCTGAGAAAGACAACAAAGTCTCTGCAGGGATCGGGCCAAACATTCTCTGGCCGGGTTTCAACGCGAGAACAAAGGGCGAGCGAGCGAGCGCTCCCACATCGTTTGTTCCTATTGAGAAAAGGACGGTAAATCACAGACGTGTTGCTACCAGAAACAAGTTGGACTATTTACTGTGCTCCATCGAGGATGACCTTCCCGCCCCGCCGGCCCTTTCCTCTCAGCGCCCACTCACACCTGTCCCTTTCGTTCGCCTTCCCTCCCACGCGGTCCGCCGGTGACCTCCCCGGGCTCGGCCCGTTGTGGCCTTGTGGCTCTTTTAGGAGCGTGAAACCCAGCGGACCTCGAGGCGCTGACCCGTCCTCCTCACGCAGACTCTTCGTGCCGCTTGGCAGGCGCTTCTGTTAAATCCTAATCCCGCTAATCTCTGGAATGACACGCGGCGCTGAGGTGAACGCTCAGACCATTCGGAGGAATTAACGGTCTGTCTCGTCTCTTCCCTCTGTCCTTTTTTGTTAGCAGGAGGCGACTTGGCCAATGAGTTGGTGCGCCACTTCCTGATCGAGTGTACACAGAAAGGAGTGCGACTGAAGGGCTGCCCCAACGAGCCCTATTTCGGTGAGCACCTTCTCCGGTTGAGACGGGGACACGTCCCGGCTGTTTGAGACGGGGACACGTCCCGGCTGTTTGAGACGGGGACACGTCCCGGCTGTTTGGCTGCCCTGCGGGAAGTGAATGACCTCGCGGCCTCTCTGCCCCCTGCTGGTGGGAGGTGGTTGTACGGCCGTCTTCTCAGCATAAACACTATCCTGTTCTCCTTATACACCGTATTCACTTTTCATTTTGTGTATTTTCTTTATTATTTATTGTTCTTAAATGTAATATGTTCTTGTTATTTTATTGTATTGTATGTATTGCACTTTTAAAATTTTTCATACTGAATATTTTTATGTTTTCTAACTGCTGCTACAAACAACTTCCCCCCTTGAACGAGGAAAGTGTCTATGTATCTATCAATGGTGACTATTATTAACAGAGATAAAAATAGTATAAATCAGATTGGAATTTGAACTGAAAATTCTTACTTAAAAAAAATATACTGATTAAAACATACATTTGATTTCCAGTCCAGAAAAGCAGTGAAAACTAAGAAGAAAGGTTCTAAATAGCTCTTAGCCCGATTGTGCAAACCCTTTATCAACCGTCTGCTTCTATAGTAATGAGTTGAAAACAACTTTGCTTAATATCACATCTTGTTACAGGCTTTGTTGTTCCCACTGCTGCTTGTAAAGTCCACTTCTCACAACCTTAAAGGCCAGAAGACGATTGAAAGATGTCCAATGCAATCCCAAACTTCAATGGCAGTGTAACTGTGACTACAACACGACTGATGTGGCAACAAAGCCTCACATCTGGCTGTAATGCTTGTTTTGCAGGAAGCTTAACCGCGCTGGTCTGCCAGCATTCAATCACCCCCTTGGCCCTGCCCTGCAAACTTATCATACCTGACGGAGGTAAAGGCTCAACACGCAGTCACCATCTCCTTTAGGAAACAAACCTCATTTAGGCTTTGCGTGTCTTCTTGGTGGTTTCATTCACTTTCTTCTTCTCCTTCATAGATCCCCTTGAAGATGTCGTGGAGAACACCTCACAGTTGATCACCAACTCTGCGGCCGAGCTGCTAAAACAGGGCGCAGGTAATCGGGCGTCTGAGATCACTCGCGCTCTAATAGGCGTCATGACTAAGCGGTGATGGTGTTTGTCCCGTTATTACGGGCCGTGTCATTGGATGCGCTCGGTCCGCGGTGGTCCGGTGTGATCTGAACCTGCCCATGTGTTCCTGCAGCCTGTAATGTGTGGTACCTGGGCTCCATGGAGATGGAGTCGCTGACGGGCGTCCAGGCGGTGCAGAAAGCCGCCAGCATGTCCCTGAGCTCCAACCCTCCACCGACCTCCACGGTGGTTCACTTCAAGGTGTCCTCGCAGGGAATCACCCTCACGGACAACCAGAGGAAGTGAGTTCCGCACCAGGCACATCTGGTCCAGCTGTTCCGTCAATGACGCTGTTGTCCCTTCGGATAATGACTCCTCCCGTCCCCCCGTAGGTTGTTCTTCAGGAGGCATTACAATGTCAATACAGTCATATTTTGTGCATTGGACCCTCAGGAAAGAAAGTGAGTATTGTGGATTTCTATAGTTGCAAACGTCGGATGTCGAAATGTTTCCTGCTGACTGTTTTTTGTTGTCAGTGCTGATTTTGAACGTGCAAAGTTCTTAAAAGCCAATAAGCATCCTCCCTTCATCGCTCACAGGTGGAAACGGGACGGCTGCCCTTCAGCAAAGTAAGTCAGCGATGACTATTCTTCACAAGGGAACAACCAGAGCGGCATTAAAGCAGTTATTTTTAAAGGCCGATAACCGCGTTTCTCTCCACCTCTGCAGGATCTTTGGCTTCGTGGCGAGGAAAACAGGCACCTCTACGGACAATGTGTGTCACCTGTTTGCGGAGCACGACCCTGAGCAGCCGGCAAGCGCCATCGTCAACTTTGTCTCCAAGGTGATGATCGGCTCGCAGAAGAACAAATAGGTTTAAGTAGAAAAAAAAGTCACCGGTACAAAGGACACAATGTAAGAAGTGAAGATGGGGACGTTAACCCTGGATATTAACTGGATATTGGGTACATAGTGATCATTTACCAGCACCAGAATATTTAATTCTTTCAGTGGAAACATGTAAATAACTTCTCTGCTGTTTTGTTTCTTTCCTGTAAAATGAACTGTAAAGTAGCAAAGTAAGAAAAAGACAAAACTATAATATTGAAACCTGTCTTAAACCGCTATGAATCTTTTTTAACATATATTAAGTACATGACACATAAGACAAAGGCTGCTTTTTTATGGATATATTAAGAAACCATTGTTAACTTGTTCTAATATTTAACCAAAAGCATTCTTTAAGCTATTGACATTCTGTAAAGTTGAAGCCAACGTAGAAGCACGTTGTGTCCACCAGGAGGCGACGCAGCCAATGTGTCATTTAGATTAGGAACAGACTGCACTTCCTGCAGCATTGTCCTCATTTTAAATGCAAATGTTTATTTTTTTAAACTACAGACTTTTGCACATGCACATTTGGTGTGTGTGTGACTATTTGAACAAAACCCTAATTATATATATAGATATATATATATATATATATATATATATATATACATATTATTGATTTGACATGAGTTGGTTAAAAACAAGTCCTTTGCGTAGGAGACGGTGGCACTCCACTCAAATTAATTTTTTTCTCTCGGGCGGTAATGGCCATTAACATCACTGCAGTATCTAAAAGACAGATTTTGTACATTTCGTTAATAAAAGAGCTTAAGCTGCTGTATGGAGAGAAGAAATACTGCTATTCTGTTAGCAGTTTGTTCAAGAAAAAACACGCTCAGAGATGTGCATTGCACAGATGAATTTAGGATTGAAAATATATCTTGTTAAATCTGTCAGTGACATTTCAAATACAACTTCCATGGGACCAAGTTAGAACTCTGCTACGGTTGTTAGCATTCCCCCACGTTGGCCGCTTGTTGCCGTTGTGTTTTCCAGGGGGGGCCGTACAAATGTATTCTTGAAAATATTTTTTTGCCATTTTATCTAAAGAGGGACTTACAACCACAATACAGCTCTGTTGGTGTTCCTACATTGATTATGTTATCTATTATCTGTACCTCATACGTATCTCATACAATACTGTGCCTCTGTGTATAATAGGCCACATGTGAACAGTTTATTTGTATATTGACAGTGGGTTGTTTGTGTGTTCTGTAAATAAACACAATGAAACATGTAATTGATCTCAGTGATCCGTTGATTGTGATTTAGACTTTGCTTTTTGCTAAAGATTACCAAACAATATTATACGCCTCTGCAACTAGAGCAGTTGTGTGCGTGCGGCTCTTCAGCAGTGGTGGGTCGATACCCAGAACCTCCTCCAGCAAGACGGTGGGAAGCACGTTTGGTAAATTGTCGAAATTGCTCATCAACACACTGTTTTCTGCTTTTGTTTCCTCTACAGTCGCTTTTTGCTTTTAAAAGTATCCCTCTACTCTCCCTGACCGCATTACAAGTGTTATTTAGGTTTTATGTAACACGTTTTTCCCCATTCACCCCAGAAAACATGAAAAGCCAAGAAAAGCTTGGTTTTCATGGACAGTCGTGGTCCGTTTGTGGTCTTCATGGACAGGATATCGAGGCGTAGTCGGGGGGAGGAGGGTCTACAGTTCGGGGGGCTGCGGATCTCATCGCTGCTTTTTGCAGATGATGTGGTCCTGATGGCATCTTCCGTCTGCGACCTCCAACTCTCACTGGAGCGTCTCGCAGTCGAGTGTGAAGCGGTCGGGATGAGGATCAGCACCTCTAAATCTGAGGCCAATGTTTTCAGCAGGAAACCGATGGATTGCTTTACCGCACCGTTGTGACGAAAAGAGAGCTGAGTCAGAAGGCAAAGCTCTCGATCTACCGGTCAATCTTCGTTCCTACCCTCACCTATGGTCATGAAGGACGGGTCATGACCGAAAGAACTAGGTCACGGGTACAAGCGGCCGAAATGGGTTTCCTCAGGAGGCGTCTCCCTTAGGGATAGGGTGAGAAGCTCAGCCATTCGCGAGGAGCTCGGAGTAGAGCCGCTGCTCCTTTGCGTCGAAAGGAGCCAGTTGAGGTGGTTTGGGCATCTGGTGAGGATGCCCCCTGGCGCCTCCCTAGGGAGGTGTTTCAGGCACAGCCAGCTGGGAAGAGGCCCCGGGGAAGACCCAGGACTAGGTGGAGAGATTCTATCTCTGCACTGGCCTGGGAACGCCTTGGGATCCCCCAGTCAGAGCTGGTAGATGTGGCCCGGGAAAGGGAAGTTTGGGGTCCCCTGCTGGGGCCCCACGACCTGACCCTGGATAAGCGGTTGAAGATGACTGACTGACTAAAGAAAAGCTCTGTTTATTTATTAATATACATCATTTATATTTATATAATTGTATTTATACATGTACACGATATATTAATGTATCTTTAGTTCACTTTGCGGCCAGCAGAGGGCGCCAGCAACACAACCATTTGGAACCTGAGCAGTAGAGTCAAGTCCAGCGTGGCTTATTTCCCCCATTCTGGAGTGTAACTTAATCTGTAAACATATGAATTTAAGTGGATTACCATGACAACTTTTAATAAGTTCTAATTATTATATCTAGTTTTCCCGCCTCATACGTACACACACTGTCTCTTTTTATGAAGTGCGGTAAAAAGGATTTTACCTCCACACAAGCTGGGACACGTTGATTCTGGGGGGATTAAATTGCATTGCCAAGCCAAAGAGAGGGTAAAGGTGTAATTGAGTAGACCCCCTCCCACCCTCCTCACTAACTCTGCAAGTGGTGAAAGTGAAGAATTCCTGGGGGGGACGGAAGGAGGAAGTGCAGGGCCAGGTGTGGCGGAGAGCCCAGAGCCCCAGAGTGCCGTCGAAATGAAAGAAGCGAGCAAAGGTCCAGAAAAGCAAGTAACATTATTAGACCGCCGAGGAACCCTGTAACTAACTTGATCCTGTCCATCAAACTTGATTTTGTACGTCTTGCTATTTGCCAGCTGATTATTTGTATGTGCGAAAGACTAGAAATCAACCCACACATGGAGACACGCCGATGAGCCTTTGTATTAGAATCCACGCTACTGTGTCGAGGTTCCGGACCTGAGCGAGGACCCCTAACAGACGGCGAGGAAGCCCGTCACACGCAGTAGACCCGTCTTCACAAATGCCAGCTCTCCAACGAGCGTCCCACTTTCGCACCAGTCTCTACCAGCAGGCTGAGGCCAATCGAGTTTCACTTTGCAGAGATAATGTGGAGGCGAAAGGCCGCGTTTATCAAGGCTGACGGAGCTCATTGTCATTCCTGGAGCACCCCCAGCTCTGCAGCATTACAGCCACTTAATTAGAGGGGCATGGCTCGTCTTGTTCCCCTGAGGCGGAATAAAGGTTGGGGAGTAAAAATAGGAAGTGCATTCTGGCATGGCTGCACAGTTTGAGGCCCCCTCCGCTTTGTTTTTTTGCAGGCGCCGAAACCTCAAAATGCAATGAGATTAATTGTGGGACCAGGAAAAGTTCAGGTTAGGGTCGAGACAATGAATGGACCGTTAAGTGTGTTAAGTATCAACGCTGCACATTGGCCTACGTGGAGGGGGACCAACGGCCATTAGTGGAGGGCTGCTCGGTGGCTCCCAGTCTGTATGCATCCATCAGTGACTATGGCGAGGGGGGGGGTCTCAACTGTTGTCATGGTCACTGAACAAGAAACAAGCAGTGAGGTCAAGTGCTGCCTTTTGTGATGTGAATCTATTTAAGTGCTCCTTCATCAATGCCGCCATTGATAACACCCCAACTGTGTTCATTTTAATAGATTTCAAATTCAAAGTTTTCCTGTTTTCCTGCTGTGCCAAAGGTTTTTGAAGTGTGTGTGTGTGTGTGTGTGTCCATCACATCTCATGGTACAAGTTTCCATTTTGTGTCGGTGTGCAGAACACTGATCGACCTCAGTATTTCATTAGTTGGGGGCAAGATGGCGTTTTCCTGGCAACAGCAGAAGTACCCTCTGGGGTGCAATTAATCCCCTCCACTTCATTGTTACTGCTGTACCTGAAGGCCCTCTCCTCCTCACCCAGTTGGCTTGTCCTTCTAAAAAGAGATTCAACCACAAAAGGAAAATACACGGGAACCAATTAAATATGGTTTTAGATTATTGCTTATGGCTGCGTAGAAAAGCTCAGTCCGATATTCAGTTGCTATTGAACACGAGCAAAACTGAGAGTCTGTATGTTCACGAGGTCCTAATGCATAATCATCTGTATGAGGCAATGAGAAAGCCATACGGTCCGTGCTGGGGGATCAGGGGGGATCCAGGGCCCAAAGTGAGCGGCGCCACTCACACTTCCGTCGGGTGGGTGTGTGTACAGCTCCTCTCGCTCCGTCCTCCGCTCTGGACTAATTACAGCCTTCGGCTGTCGGGGGGCCAAACCTCCAGGAATGGGGACCATAACAGCTCCACGAACAGGCCACTCCCAAAAAAAAAAAAATCACCCGACCCTGAAATTAGATGAAAGGGGTGTTTCCCCCCCCCCCCCTCCTCCCCCCCTTTTGGCTCTCGCTTTAGTCCACCATTCAACATCTAATGATCGAAAGGCCGTCCCGAAGCTCGGTGTCTGTGCCAGTCTGAATCAAAGGGGAAAGTCCACGTGAATCACAACACACAGGCAACTCGCCTGATGAGAGTCTGCTCCAAAAGCTCTCCGACACGGGCAATTATATAAGAGTAAGTTGTGAGACTGTTGGGGGGAGGAAATACCAGTGGACGCATCGGAATCATCATGTAATCTATAGCGGCAAAATTCCCAATCATTCCCTTTACGTACTGCAGCACAGCCTATGATATGTATTCACTCACAACCAAATGTTATACAAGAACGGGGAACAGGCTGGTTGAGAATGAGGGACACACACACACACACACACACACAGTGTTCCGCAGACCTCCAGTTGATCATGTGAGCTCCGGGCCTCGCTGCAGAACCCCTCAGCTCCTGTACCACCGGCTCCACTGCTGGAAGCCATAGTGAGAGCACTCTTGGAGCTGGAAGCCAGCGCATCTGATTCGTCCCAAATCACCTTAAAACAGTGGAAAATTGCTCCGGATTCGGAGCTGACGAGCAGCTGCGGTTGGCCGGCGCGGCCTTTTGTCAGGCGGGGTCATGTTCAACACGTGTGCAGTAATATCCTGTGTGTTGCAGAGGCGAATTCTTCACAGACCCTTTTTATTGAGCGTCTGCTCAGCGGGACGACATTCCTCCGGGTCTCTCCTCCGCTATGCTGAACACGCACAGGTGGCTGAGAGACCCCCTTCCGTGTGGAGAGGGAGGGAAATCAGCAGGCTTTTTGAATTTTTTATTTTTTTTTGCAGCTTTTGAAAGGAATGCTTGGCATTCCACTGGGCCGTGCTCTGCTGTAGACCTGTCTGTTAACAGGCGGCTTGTTGGCCACTGATTTGACATCAGATTCCAAGGAAGAAAAAGAGGAACTGTGCACCTCGCCTCTCCTGCTGTTTTTCTTTTGAGGCATTTTGGACATTTCGTGTTGGTCCATCGTCGCTCTCATCTGTAACCCATTTATAGTGGACCTAAAAAACGCCTCCGATGCAATTACTCCGGAATTTTCTCACTAACATGTGTGGTATGCGCCCTTATTTTAAGATATCTTTGTGGCACTGACAAACAGCCAGACGAGCCCGTGCTATGTCACGTGTCCTAACAACCAGTTCAGAAGCCCACTGTGTGTGTGTGTGTGTGTGTGTGTGTGTGTGTGTGTGTGTGTGTGCGCGTGTGCGAGGAGCTGATACACAAGGTGGATTTCTTGTCTTTTTTTATAGAACCAAACACATATGTGCAGGTTACATTGACTTATGTTCCGCTGCAGGTTTTGGCCCAAACTCAAAGCCGATCAGTCTGAATTGTATTTTCCTGTTTCGGACATGGAACCATTTTTCAAATGTTATTATTTGAATCATCTTCATCCCATCAAAAAAAAGGTTTATAGCTGTTGTAATATGCAGTATTTGCTGCAGTATTTTGGGGATTTACGAAGTGATAACAAGAGATCCAAAAATACCTAAAAACTCTTGAAATGTCTGTAACGGGTCAACAAGATTAACAAGAATTATGAGTCTGGAAATGGTTGTAAATTGCAGAACATTCCATAAAATGCTGTCTCGTTTACATTCTCAAACATATATTTTTAAAATGTTTGTACCGTAAATACAATCGATCTCAACATAAGTGATGAAGTTTCAGGGCATCTTTTTAAAGAGAGTCCTGTGTCTCCCCTTAATGGATTTAAAATCGGCAAGTTGGAAAATTTCACAAATAACTGAAGGGATTGTTCCAGCTATGCATCATATTCAATAAAGATCTGTTTGCATTTTAAAGTATTGAACTGCAGGATTATTAAACAACATGTAGTGAGCAGAAGAATGGTAATAAAAGGTTTTAAAAAAGCATACCACAAAATGGTTCTCATAAGTGCTTCAGCAAGTGGTGCCACGCACGCGCACACACACACGCACACACACACACACACACACACACACACACACACACACACACACACACGGGCCTATCAGCTCCACCCAAAGTGTAACGGAATCATAAATTAGAGCTGCATCGTCGAAGAAGCTGCAAATACTCACACGCACGCACGCACACGCACTGTTGGCGCCCCCTGTGAATGGCTCCGTGCACGCCAGACGTCTGGGCTCGTGCGCGCGCGTGCCCTTTGAACTGGCTAGATTAAAACACTGCCATGTGTTGACAGGATCACATGTGCGTCTAATCACCTGCCAAATGCATTACATGCGGACGTGTTCAGTCTGTTAAGACCTCAACTAAACCCTCAGCTAAAGCGGCGGGTTGCTAAATCTATCTGCTGTTATTGTTGTTATTGTTATTATCATGATCAGGATTCCATTGCAAACCCTCGTTGGAGCGACGTCGCGGCGCTGTGCGCTGGAAGGAGTAACGCAGCGGAGCCCGTCCGTCGGCAGGCCGCCAGCTCCTCGGGGGAGTGACTTCACTCACCGGGGTCTATATATTCACGTTTTGTCCGGTGGCTTTGTGTGAATTAGCGAGGAGCTGCAGTGGAAAGTCGCCGCAGCAGGACGGCGCGCTTCCTCGCTCTGACAGCCGCGCACACGCTCCCAGGACGCCGCGATGGACTCCCGTCTGGGCGCGCTTTGCATGACTCTTCTCCTGGCGTCGTCAGCTGCGGTCGGACCGGTCATCCGGTGCGAGCCGTGCGAACTGGCCGCGCGCCTCCTGTGCAAACCTCTGCCCCGGGACTGCGCCGAGAGGGTCCGCGAGCCGGGCTGCGGCTGCTGCATGACCTGCGCGCTGAGCGCCGGCCTGGCGTGCGGCGTGTACTCCGGCAGATGCGGCTCCGGGCTCACGTGCCGCCACCGGCCCGGCGAGAGCAAACCTCTGCAGGCGCTGCTGGAGGGACGCGGGGTCTGCGCGGACGCCACGAGCAAACGCGCCCACGGCAGAGCGACGCCCGCGGCCAATCACCTGCCAGGTAACCGTTGCGCGCGCCTTCTGTCTGCTTTACTGCCCCGCGTCTTGGAGGGGTTTAACGGGCACGGGAAGGTGAACTTTTAGGTGCTTTTACCTGCGCGCCTCTCGTGACGAGGAGCGTCTGATGTCCACTTTTCTACAGTAACGAGCCGCGTCACTATTTGATCTCTTCACGCGATAGAAGTGAGGAAGAGATGTTGAGCTCGCGACAGTTGCTGTGAAGCGAGTGCAGCTCAGCGGGGGGGGGGGGTATTTATTTATTTAGACCCCTGAATCAGATGAGATCCTGACTTTCAGGTGATCATGTAAATATTCATCTTGGCTTCTATGTAAGGGCGGCACGGTGGCGTGGTGGTCAGCACTGTTGCCTCACAGCAAGAAGGTCCTGGGTTCGATTCCGCCCAGTGGCCTTTTTGTGTGGAGTCTGCATGTTCTCCCCGTGTCTGCGTGGGTTCTCTCCGGGTTCTCCGGCTTCCTCCCACAGTCCAAAGACATGCTCTGGGGATCAGGTTGATTGGGGACTTTAAATTGCCCGTAGATGTGTGAATGTGAGGGTGAATGGTTGTGTGTCTCTGTGTAGCCCTGCGATTGGCTGGCGACCAATCCAGGATGTACCCTGTCTATCGCCCGAGGCTGGCTGGGATGGACTCCAGCCCCCCCGCAACCCTGTGTGCAGGATAAGCGGTTTGACAATGGATGGATGGATGGCTTCTATGTAGTCGTGATGTATCACAAGTGGTGGTCATTTTGTATGTTCAAGATGTAACATATGTAAGACCCCCCCCCCCCCCCCCCCCCTCCAAATGGAATATTGTGATTTAACACACCTGTCCTCAAACTTTAGCAGAGAACATTGAGACTCGGGACGAAGAGAGAAATGCCACCGGGTGGGGCCTCCAGACCTTGTACACCACCCACAGACCCACGAGACCCCCGAGACCTCCGCCTCGCCCTTTCCTCCCCTCTGCCAAGTCCGAAGTCCTCCGACGGGAGCAGCAGAAGAGAATCCAGAGCTTTAAAATGGAGGAGCTCCCGGGATCCCTCATCACGGACCAACAGAACTTCTCTCTAGAGACCAAACATGACCCAGAGTATGTAAGTACTTCTCTCCCCCCTCCACAGCGCGCTGGAGGAATGTTTTTTTTGCCTCTTCCTCTGTGTTTTGGTGTTTTTCCTCCCATTGCGGGAGAGGAAATGTTTTGGGTAGCGGTGCCGATGGTTGCCAGTGGAACGGCATGGCCCTGCGGCCGACCCGGGTCAGGCGGCGTCCGCGTGCCGGGCGCACTGGGAGCCAGCGAGTGATGGATTGGCCCGTGCGAGTGCCTGTTGGGAAGCCCTGCTTCTATTTTCATCTTCTCTTTGGCCGGAGAAGTGAGCACACACTAGTAATGGGCTCTGACTGGCTGCTTTGATTAGTGACTGTGGGCCCTTGGATTCGAAGACAAGCCTTTTGGCTCCCGTCCCCCCCCCCCGCCTTCCCCCAGCCGCGTGCGAAGGGTTAAGCGGCTTCGGCAAACTGTTGAGCCGCCGCAATTTGGTCAGATCAATTGATTTCTCGTACTCCTTCATAATCGCAGCCAGCCACCATTGTCTGGGTATCACGGCGGAGGCGCGTGGGCTGCAGCTTGAGTCTGATTTGTTAATCCCCCTCCACCCCCACCCCCCCTGACAGAAACCATGAATCCAGCTCCCACTGCGAAACGGGCACCAGTGAAGTTTGGAGCTGGAGACGCTGACGTGGAGCGGCTGACTGTGTTCCCTCATCCGCAGGGTCCCTGTCGGAGAGAGATCGAGAGCCTTCTCAGCAGCCTCAAGATTACAGACATTCTCAACCCCAGAGGATTCCGCATACCAAACTGTGACAAGAAGGGCTTCTATAAGAAAAAACAGGTAAAAACCCACGACATCATCAAAAACAAGCACATTCACAGGACCATCATTGGACGTTCTCCGTGCGCTGCAATGCAGACGTGCACTGATTTCTCACCTGGTGAGCCCTGTTTACCAGCTCGCCAGGCCGTGAGAAGGACGCCCACATTTCCCCTTTTACATGCTGCATTAATAAAGACTCGGTGCTGTAGTCTGGTGACTCAAACTTTCGGGCTCCTGCAGCCCAATTACAGATGCGTAGCTGTCTTCCTGCGTTCATTGGTAGTCATTAGAGCCTCATCATTGCACCACCACACCAGTGAGGTAGACCCTAGCCACTGGCTCCGGAGACGGGAGCCACAGGGGCCAAACCCCAGTGGGGTTGACGGCTGGGACGACGGCCGTTTTAACGGGAACCCTCCCAGGGAGACCGACGTCAAGGTGGCCACCGGCACCCGACGCGCTTCCCCCCCCCCCCCCATAATTGCTGGACTTTTGAGAAGCGCGCACAGAAATAGAGCCGCAGCCGTCCCGCGCGCTCACGTGGGTTCACCCGCGATCGGCTTGTAATAAATGAGTGGTTGTGACGCATTCATATGGAGGCACTTAGGGCTCCGGCGCCCCTGAAGCGCTTCTTATAACACAGCAGTCCCTCCTTGCTTAATGGACGTGTTCGCCTCGGCCTGCAATCATCTCATAAGGCCGGGCCTTATTGTCTTTGTTTATGTAGAGCACCGCCGCCGGGCCCCCCCGAGGTGCAGACTTTTCACGTTGGTCAGTTTAATTTGGACGTTTGCATGATTCGGAGCTCTTAATAACAGTTGATGTTACGCTGGAATCAGATGCACTTTGTTCCCCCGTAATCTGCGCGTCAAATTTGTGTTATTTCTACCATGCAATTTGTGATGTGTTTGTCATGCACTAGTTTAAGCCCTTTTTTTTCCAGACAGAGCACAGGGAAAATAAGATCCTCAACCCCCCCGCCGCCGCCTCCTCCCTCGTACTTCCTGCAACAGTGATCTGAGTCTTCTCAGGCAAACCCTGCTGACATATTGAACTAAATGCGGATGCCTACTACTCCCCTGTGGAGCGGCAACGCCGCTGCTTTAGCCCTTGAAATGACTGGCTGCATGTTTTACTAGAGTGGAGGTTGACCTTTAGTAAAATTGGCAGTAAAATAACAGCCCTTGGGTAGCTCCACAGACTCTGTAAGTCATTTGTAGTACCCATAATTTGGAGCCGTGGGGTATAATCAGCAACAGATGATTCGCACTGGCCACCAGCTTCTGAAAATAGATCTTGGTTCCCAGTTGTTCACAAACGGCACTAAGCAAATATTTTACCAGGTTTCTGTTTACCTTAAAGGTCTCTCTATATGTGTGTGTAACAGGAGGTAGACCATAAAAGCAGCTCAAAATACCACAGTGCGTTGGATGACCAAGGCTGCGTCGACTCAGCACAATCTGACCATTAATGCCTCTTAACTACCCCCCCCCTTCATTCACACACACCCCTCGTCTCCTTATTGCTTCCCCTTCCCTTCACCTTGTCCGTTTGCTTCACTTTCAGTGCCGTCCGTCCAAAGGCAGGAAGCGCGGCTTCTGCTGGTGCGTGGACAAATACGGGCAGGCCTTGCCAGGGTTGGATAAGAAGGAGCGAGGAGACGCACAGCACTACAACTCCGAGAGCCAATAGGAGCGTTGGCAGGACGGAGGGAGGGCGGGAGGGAGGGCGGCGGGGGTTTGGGAGAACAAGAGGAATTGTAAACAACTGGAGACACTAAGGATGTTGGGAGAGAGGTCAAGAGATGGCTCAGCCGATAAATGGATTGTTTGCCTTTTTTTGTGAGGCGGAGCGAAGGGAGCAGGGGGGGGGGGCTTCTGTTTCACAGATACTGTACCTTTCTGCAATGGACGGATTCTTCATAAGCTTTTTTTTTTTTGTCTCTGATCCAACCAGGACAACTTCTGAAAAGGGGACGTGATTCGTCTCAGAGGCCTCGTCCCCATTATTAAAAGAAAAGACATTGACATTGGCCACACACATTGATGAGAGTGCTCTTCATTTTACGCACAATCGAGTGGCATTGCACGTGTGTACATGCATGTCATAATTTGTTGTAAAGACGCTGCATATGGTGCCGACAGCCGTATGTAGTGTGTATGTAGGAATATGTCTTTTGGAGTCGGCATGCAGTGCCTTACTTTTTTATGAATTCCTTTTTTTCCCCGGGCGGCTTTCCTGCTCCTCAGGAGGTTTGACTGGACTGTGCAGCTCGAACACTAAAGTGCGTATCATTTGTGTGTCCTGTTTTTTTCTTGAATGCTGGATCTGAAGCCACAAGAAGAGGGACATGTCCTTGAGTCTGTGCTCTGGTTGTTACTGTTGTGTTGTCACTTTGCATAAGCTGAATTTCTGGGATAAAGGTCACAAACCGTTATCTCAAATCTCTGTGCCGGGGATCATCTCCCATCACTTGCCTTGGTTTAAGTGAATATGCTGTTTGCATTTACAATGCAACCCTCAAAGGTCTATTTTTTAACTTAATAAAGGCACTATAACATTTCGCAGGTATTGAATTCTCATATTTTTGTCCTAATCTCGCCTCTCTTGCTTTGTGTATGAAAAAAAAACACTTTTATTTTGAAAAAAAAAGCATTCAAACACGACCACATAGTGATTAAATAACATTTTAATGCGACTCACATCCACAGAATTAGAAGAATACACACGTTGTTTCAACAAAACCAATAATTGGATAGCAGCATTTACAATTCCCAAAAATGGTCAAACGCACACGAGCTCACAGCAACATAATAAATACTTGAATAGATTAAAGAAAAAACAAAAAGAGGCTTGGCCTTGGAAGAGCTAAACCCGGGGACCTGCAGAGAGAGGTAGACTGATGCAGAGCTGCGTTGGCCGGGATGAGCCCCGATGTGTTTGTGCTCGGCCACCCGCACATACTTGCGGCACTTTAAGTATTTCCCCCAATACCCATTGAGGAAACGCCAATGGAGATACATTCAGACAATGTCAACACGTTGGATGAATGGGCGGCTGTGTCATTCTGTGCTGTGAGCAGATCCAGTTCTGAATGAATGAATGAATGAATAAAAAAAAAGTGATGCCGAAGCCTCTGAAACGAGCTTGGCAGAGACGTGGACTTGTGGTTTGGAGCAATGGAGTCATTTAGTGAGAAAAACAAATGTATACAGTGTTGCCCTATTTACAATCGGGAAGAGAGAGAGAAAAAACGGGCAAACATATAAAACGCCTAAAAATAACAAATGGTTAATGCCGGTGAGAATAAATAAGGCTCGATACATACATCATGTAAATAATATGAGAGGAAATGTCCCTCTTCCGAAATAGCATTTCATATTTTGTGCGAATGAGTGCGTTTCTTTCTCTGAAGTCGGCTCATCAGGTGGTACATTTACCCCCCCTCACGCTCCTCACCCCCTCACCCCCCTTTGTTAAAACACGTCTGCTTAGGAGCGAGGCCTCCCTCTAGAAGCGCACCTCCTGGTGACACTCCGAGTCGGCCGGCAGGTCGCTGGATCCCGGGATCTTCTTCCCGTTCCAGGGAGAGACGCACCAGCAGCGGGCGGGCGGTCCCACCAGAGATGACTCACACTGATGGGGAAACAAATGAGCACCGTTGGCTGAATTTCAACTTTTAAATAGGTTGCAGGTGTGTTTTTTGGTTGGTTTTATTTGTTTGCCCCGGGACGTCCTGGGGGTCTCACCTGCTTGGCCTGGTAGTAGCCCTGCCTGTCGCAGTTGGGGAGGTAGAACGTCGTGAACTTCTCCCCGAGTTTCTGCTGCGAGCTGGAGATCCTGTCCACCGCCGCGTGCAGCTCAATGTGACAGGGACCCTGAAAGACAAGACACGTGAGAACTACGTCCACACCATGGAATCACATGCCAAACAAAACAAAAGACATGTCAATAAATAAACGAGTCCCAGTGATCTCCACAGCGCCTCCGGTGCTCCCTCTAGTGGAAGGAAGGCAAAGTCCTCACCTCTTGGACCAGCTTGTTATGGATGGCGTTGACCTTTGTTCTGAAAGTCTCTTGGCCCTCAGTAGTGTCTTGGGGGTCCAGCGGAAGGTTGAGGCCCAGCAGGTAGTCCAGGGAGCCGTGGTCGGGGGCCGCTTCCTCTGCACACGTTATAGGAAAACATCTTGACTTTAACGTTCAGCGTATTTCTGTTCAGTCTGTTACGCTTTCTTAAAGGCGCCACTCTTGAAAAACGACAAACACGTGAAACTCTTGAGACTACCTTGGCGCGGCTCTTCGGTGCAGATCCCGTGTCCCCGGGTCAGAGCGTGGAGCGGCCGGGCCTCGCCGGGCCTCGGCCTGCAGCGGAGGCCCTCGCCGCAGTGGGCCGTGTGAACCCCGCAGGGCGCTCCTCGCTCCAGAGCGCAGGCCATGCAGCAGCCGCACCCGGGCTCCCGCTTCACCTGCGCGCAGCCCGCCGGGACGGCGGGGCAGCTGCTGAGCATCTCCAGCGTGCAGGCGGCACAGAGGATGGGCTCCGGCGCCACCACCGGGGACGACCTCACCGAGGCCAAGACAGCCAGGGCTGCCGCCGCTGCGACGAGAGTCAGCTTCTCATGTAATCCGGGCATCTTCAGTGCTCCTCTTCGTTGATCTGTCTGGTGGGCCTTTACTTTTCTTTTCTAAAGGTATTTCTCCCAACCAGCAGTACTTATACGGACGTCTGGCCTCCAGCGGGGTTAATGATTGACACGCTTGCGGCAGATATAAAATACTTTTTGACCAAGCAGCTTTAAAGCGTAGATGACCCTGCGTGACGTGCGTAGATCCAGGTTCACCAGGTCTGCTGTCAATATTGACTTTGGAACACAAAGTGGATCTACATCAAAACAACCCTGTTTTCGTATGTGACAAAATGACAAATCATTGTGTTTTTCCCCTTTGAGGTCATGAAAACGACCGCACGCATACTGCTGTTTAAAGAAAGGCTACAAAGTCGTGATGGATAGCATCCACAGAAGGGAATGCTGGATAACAAGTTGATACCACGAGATAATGACCGGTGCTCCTGAAAACTGTTGCTGACAGACTCTTATTTTGTTAAGTAATGCCGACCAATCGGGGCTTTGACACTGTTTTCACACTGAATTCCTATTTGTTTCTTTGGGGAAGGTTGCCGTTATCAGGCAGACAGATAAACTAGACCATCCTCCTTCAGCTTTGCATAACCCCAAAATTATGGATTGCTCTGCTACAACCACAACATGTTTGTGTCTGATGGTTGTGACTGGTTGCACTGACAGCTTGTTCACAACTTGTTGCAGATGTAAAGGGTTCTGACTCGTGTGGCCTCCTCACACAGGCTCATCTGCAGGCCACGCTTTCCATGGTCAGGTGTCCAAATGACGAGGTTCGTGTTGTGCACAAAAAGTAATCTTATCTATGAAAACTAAATGAAACAAAATTGTATCCGTACGCGAGCGTGGACTATCAAATACTGACCTACCGCTGGCAATGATTAAAATACAGTCTACAATCTGCGGTCGGAATAAATTGTTGCTCCATCAAAGCTGGACCTAAACCCACTTAAATGATCCATTAGCAGGACAGACCAGAGGCGTCATCTCAACAGGCCAAAACCCCACATCGAAGCACTTTTTGCAACAAGATGAATTACTATAATTCTATTGTGTGTCCAACATAACACAGATTGCTTTTGGAATAAAACAATAAAATAAACAAAACATAAAACTGTTGACAATAACATTTTTGCACTGGTTGTTTGCTTGGTGTAGTATTTGTCAAAGCGATTACCGGATACCTCGACTGACTCTGACAAACACAGCAACACCACCCACGCTGTGTGCGCTCAGTGACCCGATCCGATATGACACCCACCAGAAAGAGACCACGTAATGACCTCCACGCGCTGCAGTTATTCAGTTGTTAAAAAAGCTCATAAAAAATACACCTTTTACATGTTTTATTAGAGTAAAATACGTTTGACACTGCTTTTGAAAGTGGTGAAATACTGTATTTTAATGTGGGATTTTAAAGATTTTTCTTCTATTCAAGTAAAGCATCTTCATACAACCAACACCTGAAAAGACACTACAGAAGGTTTATCGTGGTTATCGAGAACAGGACCCCAAAAGAGAAATTTGATCGACGTGCCCACAGATTGGACTTTGGTCGTCGTGGCGCAGCGGTTAGAGAAGGTGTGCTGGGAAGCAAAAGGTTGGTGGTTCGATTCCAGGCTGCCCCATGTTCCATGTCGAAGTGTCCCTGAGCAAGACACCTGACCCCTAATTGCTCCCCGGGCAAAAATGTGAAAAAGCCATGAGTTTAAAGTGTAATGTAAGTCGCTTTGGTTAAAAGCGTCTGATGATGTAATGTAATGTCTTCTTTGTGTTGTCCAATCTTGAGACGGATAAAGTCTGTGGTACAGGGAAATGTTGTGTTTCTGATGGGAGACACACGTGTGAAAAGAAGAAACAAGAACAGTTTTAGAAGAAAGAGCAAACAAACAAACAGAATAATAGTATTTTGACACAGACAGTGATTTTATTCCTCTTTATTGCAGCCTGTGGTTGCGGTTTTTGTTTGTCCACTGATGAAAACAGAGAACCGGTGGCTGGCACATGGACTTCTTATCACGTCTTCCAATGGGCCCCCGTGTAGAAGGACGTGGTTACTCCACCACCAGTTGGTGAGTTGTTGCCTCTTCAATGTTGACCATCAGGTCCACCAGCCACCCAGGAAACGGCTCCTCCTCGGACCATAAAACAAACGCACGTCATAATCTGCATTTGTTAAGTCCAAACGTCTTTGCCTGGAGTGAGTACTCACGGCCAGAGACCTCTTCTTCTTCTTCTTCTTCTTCTTCTTCTCCACCTCATGTTTCTTCTTCTGCGCTGACGGTTCAGCTAATATATTTATCTTCCTCTTGAAGACCTAAAATAAACAACCAATATATGTTTACTTGTTTAAGCTGCCTGATATTTCATTTGAATTGAGCCCCAAGAAAAGAAAAAAACCTGACCTTCATTCTCAGCTTGACACTAGTGGACAGCCGTGTCCGCTGAAGGGGGGGACACGCCTCAGCCGAGGAGTCTAAACGTGTGCTCTGATCGGACGCTCCATCGTTTTGGCTTTCGGGTTGCATATGAAGACAACTCTCTTGGCTGAAGGAACGAGATGTTCGACTAGGTCGCATAACCCTCAGCCCAGCATCTTCATCTTCTTCGCTCTCATCTTCTGCAATCACCTTTGCTGTTGTCCCCTCCTCCTCCTCCTCCTCCTCTTCTCCTTCTGTGGTTTTGCTTCCTGTGGTTTCATCTTCCCACTCTGACTCTTCCTGTATGGGCTCCAGACGAGACCTCTGCTCCCACATTTACTCTCATAGGACAGAGTGGACTTAACATGAAGGGTCCATTTAGTGATACATGTTAGGATGAAAAGACGATTGAAACCGTTTCAAATATTCAGATGAAATACAGGTTGCTGCTGCGTGTGTGGAGCTGGACGATGATCTCTTCTGATGTGAAAGGCTGCTGCGCTTCCATCGTTTGCTGATCATTGGAATCAGGTGTGGAAGCTTGATTAGACAGCTGGGTGTCCTTTCAGACACAATCTGTGTCTTAATGAATATTGATTTGAATACATTTATGCAGCATATATGTATTTATGAGGGGCATTAACACCGTTTCATGTGGTAAATAATACCATGTCAGTTAAAGACACAGTTTTATAAAAGCAGTTCAGTTTATTAGTCCAAGGGAGTTCAATACTGTGTATTTACAGTATTTATGTATCTTTTCTTGACACCTGTAACCATGGTAACAGGTGTCAACCTCCAACTGGGATTTGTGGGAGTCGTGAAGTCGGATCCAAATTTTTCGTCACTACAAAGCGTCGCATTGCAGGATACGCAATATTTTTTGCATACTGTAATATTTCTCAGGACAGTGTGTAACAGTACTGGTTTCATACTACGGTTTGGGACATAAAACGCAGCCGTACATTCCCACTGACCTTTACACACCACTCCGTCATAATGCGCTGTTGTAATACCTCAAGGACTGTGCTGTTAGTGGTTTCCTGTTATTCATTTATTGAACTAAGCACTGTTACAAGTGTAGCAAAGTGCATTGGCCTCTCAAGTAGATAATTGTCTGGAAGATGATGAAAGGACCTTCACAATAAAGTCACATTGTGTTCTGGCGAGTATGAGCATAACTTCCTTCAAGTCTTGACCAATAAGCGCTTTCTGAATTCACATTTCTTTGGTGGGCGACCGGTGGTCCATCTGCTGGCTGGTGCGTCCCCATGTTACACAGCTTTGGTTTCTACCGTGTGGCCTATTTCACTGCGTTGTCCCCTCTCTTCTCCCAGCTCGCCTCTAATCAAGGCGAAACAAGCCCTTCAAAATAAAAGAGTTACAATTCAGCAGTTTTTGTAAAGAAAGATTTCCCCAAATGAGTTCCAAAATACACAATTCCTTCAAGGAGGCTTCCTGTGAGGTCTTCGTTCACCTTGGATTTCCCTCATTGACCAATGATTGACTAAGCTCACCTTGCAAAGTAAGAGCTCCTTCAAGGTACATTGATTTTATCACATTTTAACTAACAGACACAAAAAACTGATTACACCACTTTACTGTACTAGTGTGTGTACTTAACTGTTGTGAACCCAAGATAAGTTCTACGTCAATGCTGGGAAAACAAGCCCCCCCACTGTTTGTGACATTGTGACACTGGTCTGGTTGGGGGGGGGTTGGGGGGGGTCGCCTGTTTGGCATAACAAATCATTGTCCGCCACTTTCTGCCGCGGACAGCGACAGCTGTTATTCTAAGAGCAATAAACCAAGGTGTGAGAAAAAAATAGTTTTATAGAGTGAAACTAATGGGGTGACGGCCTGTAAAAAGTTCTATTTGTTGACCAATGAGCGATTGAGGTTTGGGGTTCACAAAGTGTAAATAGAATGACTCCGAACGGCTCATCTTGAAAATCAATAAAGCTCTTCATTTCCTCGCTCAACCACGACCCCACAGGGTCACAGCCATCGCATTTCATTATTTTATACATCAATATTGTCTTTATTACAAAATATTCAATAACCCAACTTTACACTGTACAAGATACAACATATTTTATAGCTTTTGGCTATTTACAAAAAGTATGATCTGCATATCAAAGTGAATATATCTAAAAAGGCAGGTTGCAATCACTGTAAGCTTATTGAGTAAGGCAAAAAACTTGTAACATGATTTATTTACACACTTGCGGATCGAGTGAAAGTCAAACGCTGATTAAAGAGGCTACAAAGATATTCAAAGGGCCTCATATTTCTGAGATTGTATCTGAGAGACGTGCTAAAGCTTGTATAGATATATATATATATATTTATATAGATAATTTTGTGAGGAAAACTGAAAATGTGGCTGTAATAGAGCAAAAATAAAAGCTGTGGTAAACGCAGCGCGGCCTCAGAGAGGACAGCAGCTGGACGCTGTGTGCTCCCAGGAGACGAGTCGACGTGAGAAAGGTTTAGGCTGAAGGACTCGCTTGTGCATTCGTCGAAGTCGTGTGCTTATTGTATTTTCTCTCGTCGGTGTAGGAATTCCTCCCTGGAAATCTACATATATACGTAGATAATTACCCCACAGAGGGAGGCATTCACTTTTGAGATAAAGTCCACCCAAGTTGTGCGAAAGAGCCCAAAAACGCTGAATATTTTCAACCGTGTCTCTTGTATGTCGTTAGATATGTTGAGGCAACACGAGCATTGAGATGAAAGATCTATGGAGAGCTCAATACTTTGGTTTTCTTTCAACAGGAGTGCCGTTACTATGGCTGTCGACTCTTTAAAAAAACTCATGCACTATCAAGTGTAAATATGTCTCGAAAAAGCCTATTTCATCCAGTGAGTATAAAAAAGAAAGAAGTATTTTGTGCTGTTTTGTTTACAATTCAGAGTTAACCACACATGCATACACATACTCACGAGTACACACACGTGCATGCTTACGCACACCAAAAAAGAAACAACACTGTTTTATCCTTGGCATAATCGGAGAGACTGTGCAAAAGCAACAACGTGATCAGTCTTTGTCTGGATACCGACGCACATACCCCCTGTACACGGATTATGCACGACATAGAAAACAAAGATGCGCATTATACCTGGATCTGAGGGGAACGCAGGAACGCCACCAATCCAATCCTCTTGTGTTTGAGATCTTAACGAGAGGATTTTAGATTCTGCGGCATTCTTGTCTCCCGAGAGTGGCGAGAAGTTTTATTTTTATTTTTTTTTAAAACCTCCGAGTGAGCACGATTGTCCCGTATGACCATGTAAGTTCCCACCCTGAATGAGCACATGCTGGTCTGTGCCAGCCGCTCGGGATTTACAGGAAAACACCCGGACAGCCCTGTCTTCCGCAGGCCTGCCGCCATGCTTTTTTCACTTCCTTGTTTGCGGTGAAGTCCGTTTTCCGTCCTACACCGCGGCGTCTGCGACGGTTGCGGCGGCCTCGATCTGGATCGCCGTCACCTCGATGTCCTCCTCGTCCTCCTCGCCCACGGCGGGCACGAAGGTGGAGGGCAGGCACGTGGCTTGGCTGTTCACCTGCATGCCGCTGCCCATGCTGGCGTGGGCGCTCAGGCTGGCGGCGGAGGAGACGCTGCCCAGGTTGGTCGGGACGCTGGTCTTTCCGCAGGAGTGGATCCGTCGCGCCAGGCTGGCGGAGCGGACGACCGACGAGGTGGTGACGGCGCCCACGCACTGAACCTTGCCCTCCAGGAAGTAGGTCAGCATCTCGCCTTTGCCCTTGACACTGACTTTGCCGCGGCACACCAGGTCGTAGTTGTTGTTCAGCAGGCGATAAACGTCTTCGGTCACCTAGAAACACAAAGCATGCGTTCATCTTCTCTTTTCATGGCTGACCAATTTGAAACATCAAATTCAATTAGCATTCCTTGGAAAACAAACTTGCGTAACACCTGTATCTTTCCTGGCACTCCGGTGCTGTCCATCCGACTGGCCACATTGACCGTGTTCCCCCAGATGTCGTACTGAGGTCGCCGCGCCCCTATCACCCCGGCAACCACTGGACCCACGTTGATACCTGCACGACGCATTAGAACACAGCAAACCAATGTATGCAACAGGGATTTCTATTAGTACACACTTTGCGATCGCGCTGGAGGCTTCGTACGAGGGCAGACGTACCCACTCTCAACACAAACTCATTGTACGACTGGTAGTTGATTTCATCCAGAACGTCAAACATCTCGATGGCGTAGTCCGCTATGGTGCTCAGGTGGTCATAGACCGACTTCTTGGCCTGAAGAGGACAAGTGCAAGGAGTGGTTAGTGTCACCAAACCATCCCCATATGGTCTTCATCGTGGTGCGCTTCAATGAGCCACGTCACCTTGGTACCAATGGTGGGGACGAGGCCCACAGCTGCCATGTATGTACTGCCAATGGTTTTGATTTTCTCAATGTCTTTGTAGCACTCTTTATCCATAAGCTGCAAGTCAAATGAGAACAAAATGCAGATGCCGTTCAAATCTCCCGCCGGATTGTGAGGGGGGGGGAAACAAAGCAGAGAATCTGCTTCCCACCTCGTCAAAGTCTGCGATGATCTCGTTCAGTAGTCTCAGGCACTCGACTCCCATGTTGTTGCCATCCAGCTCGATGTAGAAATCGTTGAAGTTGGGGATCGATGCAAACAGGACGCCGACTTGTGCGTAGGACTGATAGTAGAGATCCTGATGAAAGAATACAGCGTAATGGTGTCAAACACGTACTTGGGCGTCTTCTGATTCATGCTTTCTGTCTGTTTATCTACCTGTTTGTCTGCCTGTCTATTAGCGAGGCTCACCATGTTCCTGGGGTTTGACAACAGGAAGTGCTGAGCCACGTGGGCGGGCAGGAGATTGAAGAGAATCCTCCTGTTGTCAAGCTTGACTTTCTCCATGCCGTCTCTGTCCTCCTCCGCCTGACAAGCACACGCACACAGACACACACGGCCGTGAGGACCCTCGGCTGTCCCGCATTTTCACCACACGGTGTCAGCATCAAACCTGCAGACGAGCACTTGGGTACAGTACACGACAAATGCTGCTGGTTAAACGATTAGAGAGCTTAATATTCAGCAGTCCCACTTTGCCAAAGGAAAACCAGCGTCACACCCGCGTCTTTGCCAGAGAACAGTCAGCTGGCGGCTTGTGAACACAAACCCCCTCACATACCGCGGTGGTTCGCGTCAATCAAGGTTGAAATGGCAGCATTTCTATCGCACCCAACATGTATGAGGACGTCCACGCTTCCTGACCTGCACAGCCCAAAGGAAGTCCAGGCGCAGTTTGAGGTCAAGTTGCCTGGAGTGGAGGGCCAGGGCGCTGACGAAGAGCAACAGAGACAGGATGGGCTCATAGCCCCAGATGTGGAAGGACCCCCCACTGTGGAAGAGAACCAGCGGACAAGTCAGCACCGGACCGGACCACACAGAAGACGACACATGAGGGTTGAACGGACCCCCCACAGCGTCGGAAACAAAAACCTTTTACAACATTAAGCATTGATTTTTCTGTTGTTGTTTTTTTTTACCTCAAAACTAAAACTAAAAGAAGTAGAAATGAAAGCCTTCAAATGTGCTTGAAACTTTGAGTCATGCAATATTATATAACGGACTCATAACTCCATCTAAATAAAATTAGCTTCATTTCAATATCAGTATAAACTTCTGAATGATCCCTTTTCTGGGACTTGATCAGAATCCCCAGAGACCCGAATTGGCCGAGACCCCTTTGGTGCTGGTGTGTGTGTGTGTGTGTGTGTGTGTGTGTGTGTTTGCGATGGCAAGCGGCTAACGTGCTCCCATCATCCAGCCCACATTGTCCTTTCAAGCTTCTGATTTGGAACTAATGAGCAGATGTGCTGCTTCAAAGGGTGGAAAATGAAAGAGTCTGTGGGCTGCAGACAAGCAGAAGACTCCTCCACACACACACATCTCAGCACATATACTGTAAATGTTCCTCCACACTCATGTTATCCATCCTTTTTCCGTATCAAACACAGAAAAACGCTGAGGCTCACAGCCAATGGAAAAAGAAAAGAAAAAGCGGCCGCTGTCGTGCGTGATCGTGCACGCTCGGTGTCGTGCCGCCAACCTCTCACCCTGCAGTGCTGCGAAAGCCGCTGAGCTCCAGCACAGTGACATACAGCACCCCCAGAAGGAGCATCAGCACCATCTTTGGCAGCCAGAAGACCCGCAGGAAAAGTGCAAGGGTGAGTGTGCCCACCACACAGGACAGGAAGGCGTAGCGGGCGCCGTCACACGGCAGCTCCTCCATGGTGTGGTTGGCGCCGCTGTCCAGGTCGATGATGACGATGGAGCTGTTGGCGTTGGCACTGCCCCACAACCAGGGCATGCAGCCCACCTGACCGAGGCAACGCAGATACACGTGGACCAGGATGAACGGATGAAGTTATTATGATAGCATCTATTTTGGGCTTTTTCCTTTAATAAAAAGCAAACCAAAGAGAAACTACAATTACAGTCCGAGGCACGGCGACTTTCTTTCTAACCGGTCGCTCGGTGTTGTGGGTGATTTTTGGTGGGCGAGTGGTGGATTTGTTACCGAGGCCTTTCCCACTTACCACGCAGGCCTGGGCCACAGCGTAGATTAAGAGCACGATGAGGACGCAGAGGGCAGTGCGGATCTGGATGGTCAGGCACCCGGGGAAACACTGCGAGAAGACAACGTAGACGAAGTTGGGCGAAGGACACCATGAGGAATTGAGAATGATAAATTGTTAATAATTATATTGCCGCCGAAATATTTCGTACTGTATAATATGTTACTATACAGCAACAGTTTACAGTATACAGAGAAAGTGTAAAAGTCACAAACTATGCAGGAGCGTTGAGGATGACCATCAACCTCAACAACAGCTGAAACCCAATGAACAGTTCAAACACAACGCAGTGAAACATGCTGACATATTTCTCCTGAGTCAGCTAAAAACAGCAGAGGGAAAAGAGAAGAAAAATTCAACTCATCAGCTGTTCGTCAGGTGTGAGGAAAAGGTGAGTGAGGAAAGGAGGCGAGCCGGACGTCTTTACCTGTTCTCTGGTGATATGCAGGTACATGATACAAGCGACCAGGAAGCAGATGCAGAAGACGAGTAGGACGAGTACCACTGTTCCCCTGTAGACAGAGACCTGAGTAACCAAAGAGGTGAACGAGGAGACGGGACGGCGACACAATGTGCTGTACGTACTGTGGTATGATGAGAAGATAGACGAGGCCGAACAAGGCAGCGAGGATCAGAGAGACGACCACCGCGCTGATGAAGTGCTCGTCGGGCAGCTGGTGGTACTACGCAAGGACAAAGACCGGGTAGACAGTTCACTGCACAGGTGTGTGTGTGTGTGTGTGTGTGTGTGTGTGTGTGTGTGTGTGTGTGTGTGTGTGTGTGTGTGAAGTAGCCTCACCCTCTGCTCGCGCTCCGAGCACTTGTACGTGAGTGTGAGGAAGTTGAGGTCCGCCGTGTCCGACTCGGTCTGGCGGGCCTCGATCAGGCGGCCGATGTAGCGGTTCACCCGGGTCCTGGGGCTGCTCTGAATCACGTTGGCCTGGTTGGCGTTGGGACGGCTCCTCAGCTTTTGCGGCGCCGTCCGCATGGCCCTCCGCTGGCGGGCATGATGCAAAATGAATAAATGAAATGAGAAGACTTCAGACTGCAGAAGTTGAAGAACAACAGTGTGATCAACATGCTGCAGGGCAGCGCTCTGTATATATGCATCGCTGGAGGAACCCGGGTGAAAAAGAGCGATATTATACTATGAGAAGAAACATCGCTGTCACACTTCACTTCATTACCGAATGGCCCCCCGCTGTGGCTGCGTGTCCTTGGCAGCTGAAGGAAGCTGCTTTGAGCGCCGCAGCGAAGCGGAGAGTTGCCATCACAGGGCGGATGTGTGTGTGTGTGTGTGTGTGTGTGTGTGTGTGAGCATGGTGGATGTATTTATTGTGTAACTCGTGGAATAGTGGGGGACCAAAGGTGAGCAAGGGTCACCTGTGTTCATGAGTTCATTCCCTTCCCTGCCGTTCTACATTCTTCCTTACGTCCTCTCTTCCTTCTCTGCCTCCATGAGTTCTTCACTCACTTCCTCCTTTCCTTTATTTGCTTGCCTGGAATCTTTTTACTTCTTCCTTTTCTCACTTATATTCTTGTATATCTTCTTATTCAAACCTTACAGGCCAATTCAATGTATTGCTGCCTATTTGTCCGTCCTGCCTTTCGTTCTTTGATAAAATGTATTCTTCCTTATTTCCTTCCTTCCTTGCTGTGCATACTTTTCCTTCCTCCCTCTTCCCTACCTTGCGTATGCATACATATCTTCCTGCTCTGATATATTCTCCCTTTCTTCCTGCCTTTATTCCATGGTTTTGTTTATTCATCCGTACTTCCTTGTTCTCATCCTCGGTTCATCCTTTCATTCCTTGTTCATTATTCCCTTCCCCCCTCGGTCCTTCTCCTTCCTTTATCTCCTTGTTTTCGTCCCTCAGTTCTCTGTGCTTCCCTCATGCTCTTTTGTCATTCACAAGGCAGCACCACACACGCCGACTTCTCCTCATATTCCATATTGCGCCCAATGTAGCACAGAACACATCATGCAGCCATGTCTGCTGCACCAAACATCCTATTCGTCCGTATTGCTCCCCTCCGTGCCTTGAATGCATATATCTTTTCACACAATTCAAGTGTCTGTGGTCTGAATGCGAAATTAGCTTCCAGTTGTGGGTGCATGTTTGACTTTAGCCTGTCAACCCTTCTCCATTTGTCTGTCATTGTGTACTAATCGGCGTCTCAGTGTCGTCATTATCCCTGAGAGGAGACAAGTGTCAAGATGGAGCTCGGTCAGACCTTTATGCTAAATGTGTCAAACACAGATCTGCTCTACTTGTTTTGACACCTAAATAAATCATTCTTCTTATGAGAATAATTTATTTTAGAGGTGACTCCTCGTTAATGATGTGATAGTGGGATTTGTCCAAGAAATGAGAAAAAACATGTCCCCCCCCCCCTCACACACACACCTGGAAATCTGGATTAAAACAGCTGGCGCAAAATTACACAGCTGCCAGGACTCTGGGTTTCTGTTAAGCACACAAGGTCAATAAGCGCTCTGACATTTTGCCACGTGTGTGTGTGTGTGTGTGTGTGTGTGTGTGTGTGTGTGTGTGTGTGTGTGTGTGTGTGTGTGTGTGTGTGTGTGTGTGTGTGTGGGCAGGTTGTGGTATGTTGACCTATATGGCAGCAGCGACGTGCTGCGGTCCTGATCACTTGGCGTCACTCGTCACTTTGTTACTTGTTTGTTACTTGTTCGTTAGTGCACTTTATGCTTAATATTTTTCTTTTTAACTTTTTTAATATTTAAAATGTTTAACTTTATTCCCTTGTTTTATACTAACCCATAGCCTTATTCTACTAACCCATTGCATCAGCATTTCATTTTACTTTATTTTATTACTTGTGCACTGCTGTCTGTCTACTGTCGCGCACTAACCGCCAAGACAAATTCCTTGTATGTTTGACATATTTTGGCAAATAAATGTTTCCTGATTCCTGATTCCTGATTACCATCATTTCATAGCTTTTTACAACATAGTGGATTTCCTGTGACAGATCTGTAGCTGCTATGACTTTGTGAAGCCTTTTTAATTAGCATCGAATTATTTTCTCCTGCCAATTCATCCCAGATTGAGTGTAAGCATGAACAAACATGTGAATTACTTCTGTGAGGCGGCACATTGTGTGTGTGTGGCATTTATTTTAATAACCACTTAATCTGACAATTGTTTTCTCGATTGATCATTTTATTTAGCACTTTGGGATTTGCTTAAATATAAAGTGCATTACAAATGAAATGTATTATTATTATTATTTGTTTGTCTGCGAACCGCTCGCTTTTTGTCCAATTGGCCTGAAACACCAAAATAGACCGTAAATTAATTAATTTGGAATAATGCAAAAGAGATACAAGGACAATGGATAGAAGATCTGGCTGTGCTACAAACATGACTGGAATACTGCGATGTTCAATGAACATCCGTGTGACACCGTTATGGATTTGGAGCATCTCCTGCACACGCTGATAATATCTACTGTTTGTCATATTAACAAAGTGAGTAAATCATAAAGGAATCAGAATAATTTCCCTTTGGGTGATCCGCAGCTCAGTTATGTTTGAATGATGAATCCTGCAGAGCTCAAGCTTGTGTCTCAAGCTGTGGTGTTAAGTACAATATGGAAATGTCAAGGCTTGTGTGCAATATATCTAGGAATATACAATTATTTAAAATGTTTGATATGAAGTGCTACTTAATGTCTACACAGTTCTACAGTTGTCGTTTTTATCACCACAGCACCCTGCAATGCTCAAACAAAGATTCAGGTTATGGTTTAAAGACCCAGATTTAAGGCTGTTTAGACAAACAAGCGTTTACCAAATATACTTAAACTGTAGACATTCAGACCGGTTTATCCTTCTGTCTCTATTCACGTAAGTCACAGCACAAACAAACACAGACACTGAGAGTTTATACCTTATCACCGTCCTCGCAGTTCATGACATTGGAGAAGGGAATCTCAGCCTTGAACATCTTCCTGCAGTGCATAAGCTGCACTAGTAAGTAGCACACAGTTTTGAACTTCATCTTTTTGGCTGGCTTTATATCCGAAAGAATCAATCCTGGGAATATCTGTCACCAGATAAGAAACGGGAACAAGGATTTAGTCATGATACCCCACACAGATATATACATATACATGTATGTATATGTACATATTATTTAAGGGTCTATAAATCATGCACAGATATTGGACAGCATGCACGTCCACACGTGTTCATGCACACAAACGCAATCAATTATAATCAGGCTCACATATTTCACTATGAGTAGTTCCCATACGGTCAATATCATTGGTGGTTTTGATCCTTTTAGGACTTATCTGCCCTAATTTCTCTTTTGTAAAGATATTTTTTTAGACATGGATCAAAAGAAAGCGCGTTTGAGGAGATGTCCCTTTGCAGTAAGACCTGCCCTATTGGTTTTGCTCGATACACAACGTCGAAGGCGTGTTCCTGAGGAGGAGCGTGAGACACAATAGCAGAGAGGAGCAGCCTTTAAAACACAGCTCATATACTCATATATACTCATATACTCATATATACTCATATATACTCATATATACTCATATATACTCATATACTCATATATACTCATATACTGAGCCGTGCAACCATCGCCTCTATTAAGCGGATTAGCAAAGTCTGCCGCACATGGAAGAAAATCACACGCAACTGGGGTGTCACAGGTTCACGCGAGACCCCACCTAACCCCCCCCCCCCTAAGAAGCGCATTGCACAACATAAAACCTGCGTTAATAAAAGAGGAGAAGAGAGGTAGAAGGAGAGGAAAGTAATATGAAACCAAGACTGAAATTCCCTCTCCAGCGGCTTCTGGCACATCTGTCGAGAGATGTGCATGTTTATGTGTCACCACTGACACACTCATGTGAGACGGACGGACCGTGCAGACTCGAGAGGGTCGATGCCGCAGCCTTTAATGCCCCCGTCCTTTGCGGTACAGGCTGCATGTGATTTTAGCTCAACGGCGAGTGTGCGAGCGCTGGACGCTCCCGCCGACACTCTATGGGCCGGTTTCTGTTCAACGGTTGGACTTCACATATCGGCACAGAGGTGAAGGTAAGTCTGTCTTTTAAAACTGGCCTTCTCTTACTTACCACATCCGTGTGTTAACGCTGATTAGCATACGGCCTGCAGAAGCTGTGCTACTGTGTCAACGCCATCCAAGTAATGAAGCGGTTCAACTAAGGCCGACGTCTTATGGGAAGTGTCATCTCAAGAAACGACTTCACACCACTAGGAATCTAAGTATACATTCAGCAGCGCAGGATTACAGTGCGATACCTTCCGTCGGTGAGATGGCACTATAAAGAAGGTTTCAATTTCATGTTTTTGGAGGAAGGCGTTCCTTTCGTGACCGTTTCCCGGCTCCACCTCATAATCTCCGTTGAGGCACTCCAGGGTGGCTCTGGTGATGTGGACTTTCCTGTGGAACACAGGCGGAGACGGGACAGGGTGACACCTCGCAGAGACCAGCAGAGCAGCTCATCCTCAGGAGAGTGTCAAAAGGAAAATTGGAAAATACTCTGTTTGGAAAATACTATTTTTATGAAGCTAAAAGTTAAACTTATGTTTAAAGTCAGACTTTGTTCAATAAGAACCAGTCAAAGGTTCGGACTGACTTTCTCATTCAATTGAACAATAAAACATGTGCAACATTCTGGTTCTGTTTATAGGATTGTGTTGTAAATATTCACACCTGGCTTATTATATATTATTATATTATTAACGTAATGAGCACGTGTGCGGCGTCCGTAGCCCTTGAGGCTGGTGGCCACGCTAAACGTCCAGTACTGACCCAGGTAGTCCTCCGGCCTCCATTACATTGGCGAGGGTCACGTCATTGGACCACACATCATACTGCCATTTCCTGAGGCCCAGCACTCCACACAGCACCCGACCCGTGTGCAAGCCCACACGCATGTTCAGGTTGACTTCTGTGGCCTCTGCTACTGACCTGCGGGGACAGAACGGGGGGAGTGGGGTCGTGTTTGTATTCGTATCCATGCATCTATGGAGGGGCCGAGCATTAGCAGGGTTGTGCACACGGCAACACTTCATGACCATAACGTCTCCTCTGGTGGAAGTGATGTTTCCTCATTTTAACTTCTAGTTCTTTTTAGAACAAAACGCCCGGTAATTATCAACAATATCTGCTATTTACAACAATAATTTTCAGTTGCATCCGTCAAAGTGTGGAAACAACAGACACATGAAAGACATCCTGATAAAAGTTGAGCCTGGAAGGGTGAGTACAACAACAACAACAACAACAACAACATCACTTGTGAACTCTGTAACGGTAGCTAGACTAAAGCGTCAGCCTCCACATCCTGACCGCGGCCACGTTGCCGAGCAACATAAATGAGCTACACGTCTGACAGGTTTGTTTTCAGGTTTCTTCCCGTAAGCGTGTTTACACATATCAGGGCTTCTGGTTAGTTTTTAAATAGGTTGTTTCTGCTGATTCCATTTTGTTGGATATGGATTCACATCTTTGATTTAACATTAGTACCAAAGACCACTCTATCATCACAAACTCAAACATCATTGAGTGAATTGTGGGAGAAGATGATGTCTTTCACACGCTGAAAGACTGACAACTTAATATGGAAGGAAGGAAGCGGACTTTGCTTTAACAGAATTAGACTAAAGGACAAAGAAGACTGCTAAGTTGAGCATTTCTGTTTAAATAAAGATTGACGCTGATTAACAGGCTTCCAGTCAAATCCTGAGAGTTTCTGATGTAATCCTCCGTTGCATCTCAATCTCTCCCTCTCCTCATGCGAGGACCACGAGCTCAATGATACAGCTTGTTTTCTTTCACCGTCAAAGCCCTCTCTATTCCCCCTCAGCCGGATGTACGCGCGCTCACTCCGATGGAATTCAGTCGCAGCCGTCATGGCCAATCAGGCCGCAGTTTGCTGCACTCGATAGAATCTGTCAACATGCACTCAGCGGAACCGCTCAATTGAAATAGGGTGATACGAAGCAATGAAAAGACTTCATACATATATTGGTATTTAGAAAGCACATTGACAGAAAGTGAGTTTATTCCAGCACACCAAGTGGAACACGATGTTTACCGTTTTAACACCGCGAGGCGAAAGACGAGGAGTTTCAACACTCACGTTATGGTGTCGATCATGTCCAGGCCCATCTCCACGCAGCAGTGCGCGTGGTCGGTCTTGGGTTGGGTCAGTCCAGACACACAGTAGTAACAATCCCCCAGGATCTTAATCCTTCGGCAGTGGTTCTCCTGACGGTTACAAACGACATTGAGATTCCGTTCGTTCCTCCAATAAGGATTAGCCAATCAGTAGCAGCCTCATCTCCACGTCTACATTTCACCCTAAACAAGCATTCAAAGTAGCAAAAGGCATCACTCTTTTCAGTTTAATCAAAGTTGCAACTATGTTTTCGGAGAGCAGCCGCCTTCTGACATTTAATTATAGTTTATCCATTACACCAGTCCATATTCATCAGTGTAGTTTGTAAATGTAGCTGCAAGCTATCCAAGGTTGATTGAGTTTATGGCGTTATTCATTACCTCGTCATGCACAAACGTAAGACTGAGACCAGAAAAACATGGTGGCAATAAGCTAAAGTGACTAAACTGAGCTTCATGTGTTTTGTACGTGATGATGCTTGATTCTCCGTGCACAGAAAGCAGAGAACATGCTTTTGTCGTGCCGGCGTTGTAATCCAACGCTCAAAGGAGAACAAGGCAGTTGGAGAAGGCCTTCATGAATCCCAAACGGTCAACTCATCCGCAGGATTAAGGCCGATTTTAAACCGTTTGGTAAGAAATGTCGATATTGACACCCACATCCCAGAACATCGGCACCATTCAGCTTCAGTCAGTAAATGCCTGTGGTTTAAAAACGGACCTCAATGGATGAACTGGTATTCTTGGATTGATTGTGCCTCGTACCGAAGCTGTGTGCTTTCAAAATGACCAGCGACAGCGGCGGTTGAAGGCGAAGGAGACTCACTACCGAACCCAAAGACGCCTGGTGAGAATTCAGGCACACGAATCGGAGACAGAAAGTCAGATCCGACGGTCATTGGACGAGACGCAGCACATGACGCGGATCTCCTCACGGGCCGACGTTTGTACAGCGCAAACTCTCGAGACGCTCCAAGTCCCACCAACGCTGAAGTGGTTCCCACAATGCAGCGCTAGACCAAAGGATCAATCTCACTCGAGGGAATAAGGTGAGTCACTCTCTCACTCTTTGGGAGCAATAAGCAGTGGCATGAAAAGGCGGCTTACCGGTACAGCACATTATTAGAGGATATGAGCAACAGCCTGAGATTTTACCAGGGAGACCGGGTTACCGAGGACGCCTCCTCAATACCCTTTATTGTTTCCATGGAGGTAATGGGATCACTGGCCATGCATGCAGAGCACAAAGCCTCATAATTACGCACATCGATGGGCAGAAGAAAAGACGGGTGCTCTATTTTAAACATGCATGTTTAAAAAAAAAAAGAGAGAGAGCGCGATGGTAAGAGCTTGTTAGAGGCAAACATGCCTCGCGGCAGCTTCACGTGCTGCGGTCGGTGCTCAGGGGCATCGGGGCTCATGCGCCGATGTTGTTCAGAACCCTCAGTCGCAGTGAAATGAGGCGACGCAGAGAGAAGCACGTTGACTGCAAAGTGAAAGAATTATCGATCTCAAATTAGCCACTGAAAAGCGCTGCCTGTCACACTGAAGGCTTCCGTCACAGTGACTTCTACTTTTGACCTCTGACCCCTCCCCCCCAAGTCTAGAATTTGAGTGGACATTTGTGCCACATTTTGAGAAACCCCACAGGCGTTCCTGGGATTTCGCATCCACAAGAATCGATGGAAAGAAGAGAAAGTCAAACACTGACAACGAGATGATTTAGGATAAGCTCATTGTGGAGTACAGCGCCATTATATAACATAGGCTTATATAACATTTATAGGTTCTTGTTGTGCTGCTGTTAGACTTCATTTGGGTCTTGTCCATTAACAAAGTGCAATATTATTTTTTGTAAAAGCCAAAAATGTCCGACCATTGTTAAAAAAATGAGCAGCATCGAGTCTCATCTGCAACGCCGTTGCTTGGCTGCGCAGGTCGAATAAGACCAGGCAAAGGAAACACTGGGTTCTTCCCCACTTCTCAGCTGTAATGGAAGCGCTGAGGTCTCCTCGGGGCGACGGCGGTCACGGTGGAGCAGTAACAGATGGCGTGGTCGGCGCTACCGGAAGCAGGGGAAAGCCCCGGTACTTACAGAGTCTCCCACTCTGTGCTTTTCCTGTGCTAATCTGCCCTGCGAGGGCTTAGGCGCTGATTCAGTCCCAAGAAGGATTACCGCCGTCATGTGACTGAGGCATTGTGGGAAATCCGGACGGTCAAGACGGGCACTGTGTGTATTAGGGACAGGTACATTTAGACACCTACTCACAATCTCCATTATGAGGGAAGCCAAAATGAATCTTTAAGATGCACATTTTGGATAATTTATGTTTTCAGTGAGGTCAGAACGTGAGCAGCAGCACGGACGCTTTGCAGAGATGGAAACCCGAAAGGCACCTCAGTGCGCACAGGGAGAGGAGAGGGAGACAAAAAGGGACAAAGAGACAAAGCGAGGGAGACAAAAGGGACAAAGCGAGGGAGACAAAAGGGACAAAGCGAGGGAGACAAAAAGGACAAAGCAAGGGAGACAAAAAGGGAATCCGAGACGGGGAAGCCGAAGGTGTGTTCGTGTCTGAACGTGTTGCACTCAGTTGAGATACAATTCTTAATTCTAACTGAAAGCAATCACACTATTTTATTTCTTACATATGAGACTAAGTAAAAAAAAAGATGATCCCATCTACCATGGCTTGAATTATTTAATGTCCTCCTTTCCTCACTAAAGACAGACATGGATTCATTGCAAAGTATTTAAAGTGGGCATGCACACAAGCACTGACAGCTCCCTTTTATTGATTTGAATTGATAAGAAATAATTTATGTGCAACAACAAATGAATAATATGTCAACACTTCTTCCACCCACCACCAAACTGGTTTGTTGGAACAAGCAGGTGCTGGAGAGTCGTTAAGCAAACATATTAATATAGATTAAGATATTTCACAGATACGTCGGATACAACAAACAAACGAGTGATTCGTTCACAAAGACACCACTGCCTTTTCTGAACGTTTCATTGGAAATGGAAACGAGCAGCACCGTTGTCTTCAATGGTTAAACGTTTAAAAAACTGCTTAAAAACGTGAACGTGCATCATGCAACATCCCTAAACTGAGCAATGATTGTATCAAAAATCACATTAAGGGATATTAAGTAAATGAGTAAAAGATTTGTTTTCGCCTGAACATACAATTGTATTATTTCTAATTACGGGCAGTGTAGGATTTAGTGGCTTCGTGCTCTTTACCCGCATGAGTCCAGGTGTTTTCGTCTTTGCTGCTTCAATGTTGTAAATATAAATTATGACTTTATCTTTTCCCCAATTTTCCCATCAGTCCAGCTCTCAAGCTGCTTGTTTGGCTTGGGTTTTAGATTTTAGGACGCAGGCGTCGGAGGGGAAACTGCAGGACTTGACAGTGATCCTTCCACCTGCTCGTGAGACAAACCCAAACAGGGTTATTGGAAGTGTGTCTACACGCAGACTTTGGTTTCTGGCAGGCAGCTGTCACTGTGTGGGCACTGAACAGTCCTTGTGCCTAATTTAAGAATGCTTTTTTTTATTAGCATCCTGAGCAGCATTTTGTTAAATTTCTCTTGGCACAGGATTTTGTGTTATATAAACCACAGAGCAGTTAGAAACGTTTACTTTGGAATGTAAATGTTTCTCGCTTCACTTTCTTCCCGTGCTTTGGGAGTCTCTGGTCTCTCTCTAGAGATTACAGTTGAAATTGCACAATCTCTCCGGTTACTCTCAACTATCTAGATTAGCATTTGTTGTTGTGTAGTAGAGTGCAATGTCTAAACAGGGACTCCGCGTTCTGACAACTGATGCTCAGGTGAATTTCTCTTGAATAGCGTGAAAAACAGTCAAAATACCCGGCATGCAAATATAGCAACGGATGAGGTCAAATCCAGCACGCATCCATGCATCGCACATGTGACTATTCATGAAGGTCACGGGGAAGGAACGAAGGGAACAGGCGACTCTGACTTGTCGGGGGAAGCTAGAGTCAGCAGATAGAATCATTCATCATTGAGCCGTCCCAGGAATGGAAACACGAGAGGACGAGAACCACAGGGCACAAAAGACACAGTTGTGGGAAGCAGGCTGCCGTGTGTCAATCACAAAGCTGAGAAACAAGGAGCGGAGGAGTCTTGAAGCTGTGATGCAGGGAGGTGTTGGGAGAGGAGAGAAAAGACAAGAATGAAGAGCTTTGTGAAAGTCTGCCATGGAAACGCACACACACACACACACACACACACACGTATACAGACACGAGAGCAGAACTATTCATGTTATAGAGCATCACAACAACAATAAATGAGTCCCTCTCACAGCAGAAGCCGTCGCGTCGAGCGCCGCACAGATGGATGAAAACTCCGCCGGAGGAAGTGTTTGTGGAGTGACGGTTGGTGGGCAAATATAAATTCTCGATGTCCCCCTTTTAAATAAATCTACTTCTTTTCTTCTTTTTTACTTTTCTCTCTTCTAATCATGAACGCTATCTCAATCGTGTTACCTGCTTTAAAAAAAACAACCGCTGACGGACAAGTTCAGACCACTTCCTGTCAAACCGCACGACTCCGTGATGTGTTTTGTCGATTCTGCCAAAGTCCAAATGTGAGTAGAGAAACAGTTTCAAAGCTTCCCCGGGTTGATGGGACCTCTCACTTTTGTTCTCAGCGGAATAGTTGGCAGACTCACAGCCTGCTGGTGAGGAGTTATAATTACTCTCAGCTTGCGTTCTCGTGGGTGGTGAGAATCACTGGTGTGTGACTGGGTTCCATGAACATGTTCATCCTCAATCCTCATTTCGCCTGCTTCACGTGGAGATGGAGTGTTTGCTACGCATCCTAACCATAGACTACATACGAGGTGGACATGGCCATGGGGGGGGGGGGGGGGGGGCGCGTAAATAAAACACAATGGTGAAAAAGAAAGGGCCCAATTCAAATTCAAAAGGGTTAAAGTTGTATAACAGGAAAACATGGACAACTGCCGGAGTGGACAACACTTCCAATCCCACCCATACCGGCGCTCTAAAGATGCTCAGCTGCTCTATTTGACTCTAAAATGTTCCATGATTCACAAAATGAACACCTCGCTGTATTGATGTAAACTCAAAACTAGCCATTGACACCATAAACTCATGTTTTTTCGATGATTAATGAGGGAACAGTTGCAAAAGGGGGAGGAGCCTGCTGGCCATTAGAGAGAACCTAATGGCGCGTTTCCACCGAGCGGTATGGTACGGGTCGGGTCGGTACGGGTCGGGGCTGTTAACCATGATCTGGCGAGCCAAACAGTACCCTTACTTGATAGGCGTGGTGTATTCCAGAAACTGTGCCAGGTACCCCAACGGAAGGGGACCCAAAAAGCGGTACGGTTTGGGTTTTTGGTACCATTCTCAACTTTTGGCAGTGGAGACACAAATAAAAGGGTACCGACCCGACCCGTACCGCACCGCTCGGTGGAAAGGCGCCATAAGTCGGCCCTTAAGAAACGGAGGTGGCTGCCGGTCCTGATGTCACGTTGATGCAGCTGTTCACTGAGCATCTTCGCTCAGGAAAGGCTCAAACTTCAATGGGACTTGAACCATCAGCCGCTTACAGTAAAACAGTTCAAAGCGCTCCTTTCCTCTTCCTCCGTATCGATACGTGCAACAATAATTAATGGCTGTTTTGTGTTATTGGTCAGCTTGCTGTATGTTGTAATGATGTAAAGTTCATACTTTATGAACACTGATGCAACCAAATTCAAAATTTAAAAAAACCTGACGACCAATCCGGAGCTTTTTGCCTCATTTCATCGTTTTCTGAATGTTACCACGGTCAATGCAACACGTCGGAGGGGACAGTGTCTTTCAATCTGGACACAGGGCGTTTGCCTCGTACCCATGAGCAAACGGCAACCTCCTACAATTAAGCCGAGAGCCAAACACTGCAGTTCCTCCGATGGCCTTAGACATTCCGATGTTAAACTTGACGAAGCGGCTTTGAGTGACAGGTGGACGGCGTCTCAGGTGGCTCCGCGCTGCCTGTCTACTTTGCTGCGTCACCTACGTAAGATCCGCTTCTTTGCCCATTTCTGGATTAGCTGGGACTTAGTCGGCGAGATGACGATGACAGGAGATAACCCTTCTCCTAAAGCTTTTTCTTCAGGTTGACATTTACTAAATGACGTCTTTGACACGCGGCGGCTAAACAATAAGAATCGGGCAAAAGTCGTAAACTATTCCAAAAAGCAAAAAAGTCATTTTGATCGAATGCCGAAAATTAAGTGTGAAATATAGCGGACGTTGAAATACTAATCTTCATTTGGGTTTGTACAAAGACGAGAGGACACTTGCTCTACACAACACTGGAGGAGGACACTGCGTTCCTGGCCCACTTCCCATCAGCTTGACAAGTCCAAAGAGTGGACAGGTGGTGTGGGGATGGTGCTGGAATGGTATTATGAGATGATGCCCGGTGGCCATGTGGTATCGCCCGCTCCAAGTCTGGAATGATAAGAGTCTGCGTGGCCACGGCGACCACACATGAGTCACCGGCCGCGCCGCTTCCTGCCAAAGGGGCTCAGAATGAGCGCCGCTTTGGGTCGGAGCAAAGCTGGAACATTTTATGACAAGTTTCACGGCTCAGCTAGCAGCCGAGCGAAGATCAGACCAACCTACTCGGTAGTAACCCAAAGAATGAGACGGATCCAATCAAAGCGGCGACGGAAGCAGACGCAGCTCAAGACGTTTGCACCTTTCTACCAGCCGAACGACTTCGGGAGACGGAAGTGAATCACTTGAAGCTAAATGAATTGCAGTTTCTTTTCAGATTAGTTGGTTTCAATAAGTGCATTGACTTGTTGACATCACTTGATTTATAAATGAGACCATCTGTGTGTGTGTGTGTGTGTGTGTGGTTTGCATGCATGGAGTCCCATGCAGGACAAAGACAGCCTGCAAATGTCGTGCAAAACAGCAGGAAAATCAACCGTTTTGGAGACTAATTGGAGTGGGAATGACAATCATTGACAAAAGTCCAATTGATAGAGACTCTCTTTTGAGTCGGTTCTAATTTAGTGCACATACAAATAAAAAAAAGTTAAAAATAGAAGCTCCTAACACGGCCAACCTTCTATGAAAGCAAAAAAAGGGTTAGTTGTAATCCCGTGGATTAATGGATTTGACAAGGGCGTGTGCCTGCTGTAAGTGATAGAGGCCAGATTACATGTAGATAAGGCTGTAGACGGGTGATCTGCTCAACCGTCTCACCAAACTAAATATGTGTCAACCAAATTCACAGCGTTGCAGATGTCCCACGTGTCCTGGAGATATGCTTTGATCCTCATTGGCCCAATTCAAAGTAAAGGTCCAAGTGCCTGTGTGATTTTTGGAAAGGAGTTATTCTGGAACCGACAGCGTCGAGATTAACCGCAGCGATGAAACACACAGTAAAAGTTTAGCCGACTTTCGGCACTGAAATCACAAAGAGCGACATATTGACAGATGGGCGAGCTGAAATCTTTATTTACCCTACATGCAAACCCGAGAGAGATTGGGACAAGGACGAGTCAGTTGTCCCTTCATTCAGTTGGTTCTCGCAGCGAGTGACGAGCAGAGGCGCGGTTTAGCCCCGGGTAAATCTGGCCTAGATTAGCGAGGTCTGTCCACTCTTCCTCAAATGAAGCACCGGGTAATCATATTAAGCATCATATGGGCTTCCAGTGTCCCCAGTGACATCATGCTAATCTGGTACAACAGTGGCATGTGCCAGCAGCCTGTGGACAAAGACACACACACGCACACACACGCACGCACACGCACACAGCGGCTTCCCGTGTCGAGGGTTGGACAGAGCGCTGGCAAAAGAGCAGCTCGCCATGCCAGCAGTGGCTGTAATTGAGGGATATGTGTTCGAGGAAGGGAAACAAGACTCACCGTCGCAAGCTCATCAAATTTTCCAAACAGCTCATTTAGGAGCTTAACCAGTTCCTGGGCTGTGCACTGGGAGGCCAGACTGGTGAAACCCACTATATCAGCAAACAGGATGCTGTGGCGGAAAGAGAAAGAAAAGCTTTTCAGTCACAGCAGGTTATTTATAGCAGCATGTATGAAGGAGAGAAAGAAGAAGATTATTGGATGCCGGATCAGATTAGGTCTCTGTTTTTGTAAATTACATTTAGGAAACCTGAGCTTCAAGCCAAATTATCTTTTTGATAATGTTTTTAGAGGGAGCTAATTAAACCCAAAAAATCAAATTAATGAGCCGCAGCAACAAAAATAAAAAATGGATAAAAAGAGAGGACAAGAGGGAGAGAACTGCGCTCTGTAGCCGGCGGAGCAGTCGAGCAGAGCGACTGGAAATAGAAGCGTTCTCGTGGGGATCAAGGTGGATGCATGTCCTGTTAGGAACTAGTGAAGCGCCCTTCTGGGATCTGATCCCCACGTGGGGAACTTGTATTCCCCTTTCACAGTCGGCACATTGGGCGGAGAGGGCTTTGGGTTTCCAATTAAACTCAAACACAAACTAGAAACACAAATGTTTGTTTCTACCTGTGTCTTGATTTGGATCGAAATTACCGAAAAAAGAAGAAACGGAGTGACTCATTTACTCCTCTCTGTGATAGCACCTCCTACATGAATTCTCTCCAGGTGGCATGAATCCTGGGTGCTGTAATGCAATTGGTCCAGTACGCGCGTAGGCGGGCACTAAAATAGTTATCGATATCACTGCAGTTTCCAACAGCCACACAAGCCGTGGTCTGGTTGGGGGGCTAATGTGGTTTGCCGCCTCTTTGAGCTGTTAGTCCCGTCTGTGATTCGAGGGCTTCGCGTGCTGCTCGGTGACTCTTAGCTACTCCGTGTCCTCGTTGGAAGCACAGTGCAGTTCACTCAGCGTGGAGGTCATGTGATGCTTCACGGTCCGATCGCCTGCTGTCATCACCGCTGGACCCGGAAAGAAACGCCGGCTAACGGCGGCTAACGCTAGCTAGGGTGCATGAGAGCTGCTGATGGAGTGACATGAACCACAACAAGCAGTGCTTGTGCGACATGAGGAGATGATAAGAAGTGCATGTGGTCACTTTGATGTCACCCTTTGGTTTCTGCACCGTATTCAGGCCTCCAGTTCAATTCTGCGACCGGAACCGCAACCAAGTTTGAAGGCCACCAAAAATGTCAGAATGAACTTTCACAAACTGATAACACAAAGTAAAAGTGGTTGTAACAAATCAAGTGTGAAGCCGCCTAATGTTCTCATACACTTCTATATAATATATAATATATGAGGAATACAGGCTTAAGGCCCTTCAGCAGTGGTTCCACTTCTCAGGCGCTTGCTGCCTGGCCATGTTAGCAAGTGCTAACTTGTTCATCGTGTTTCATTGACGGTTGAGAACCGGCCCTTTCTTACGCTCATCAAACTCTGTCCTGTCCAACATGCATGTCCGCGCCTCTCGCCTGTCGCCTGCATGTCAGGTGGCGTTTTCAATGTGTTTTGTCGCTGTAACGAGGAGAGATGATTACATTTTTGTGAAGGTTTTAATCGGCAACCCTCTGTGGCTGAGAAATATTTAACACCGTGCCAGTGTAAACACTTCACATAGCGATACTACAGCGTATTCAATACCCGCTGGAAATATAGTGCACGACTGCAGCCGGACCATATTCACTGTGTGAGCTGGATAAACAGCAAATTGAGTTTGATGTCCAGTGATTTAATCTCTCAATATTTACCCAACAATAGCTATTTCATGCCGGCTCCGGACTCCAACACTATTAATTGTAAACTGCTTTGAATGAGTCCTTTTAAATGTTTAATTGTTGATTGTAATTTGCACCCGATTGTCTCATGGCTGGAATATGTAAACTCAGACAAGCTGATTGTAGAATGAATCATCCTTTCACAGTCCCACCTTTTAGTAATCCTTCAAAAGCCAGCTGGAAATAAAGGCGTCTTCTAACGAGGAAACTATTTATTTTAGTTTTACAGCTGCAAGCTGCACTATGAAATCCTGTGGTCGTATTTGGAGCCGATCATCAGTCACTCCTGTGTTTCTTTACGCAGACTGAACTATGCTAATCACTTCGGAGCTCTGCGTTTAAAAATAGCACGTCTCTCTTTCTCTCTCACGTAATAATATTACACAGGCGGGATGGAAGCCGTGCACACGCGCCGCTTGCTAACAGAGCCCTGCAATGTGCCCGAGCACATGTGTCAGCTCATGTCTGCCTCATGATATCTGCCTCGCTACTCCACACAGAGAGGCAGCACGCTGTGCCGTTTGCACAATCCGCGTGATGACTGCAAACCTTGAATTCAAGTGCTCTTTTTGCAAGACCGTATTGTGTAAATCGGCTTTCTGCTTCCTTTAGTGCTTTCAAGTCCACGTCCCTCAAAAAGGCAAAAGGAAACACCAGAAGAATGGCAGCAGAATAATAATAGACTGGAAGCTGATGAATGGCTTATGTGATAACATAGAGAATTGGGGATAAGCTACAGGCGATGACTCCTTTCCTTCAGTAAGTAGTTGTGTTTGTGAAGGAGGATTTAGGCGTAATGTATTTATCAGGCAAACAAGGGTTTGATGTGTTTTTCTGGAAAGAAACTCAAAGGAACCACTTCCACACCTGCAGTGTGGCGGATTCGGTCCGGTCCAGGAGTCCACATGGATGAATGTATTATAATTATTATCACTCGTGCACACGCGTGGGCAAATGAAGCGGCGCGTTAATGCTTCTGACAAAATGTTCCGATGAATGATGGTGGACGCTGTACGAAAGCCCCTTTGCTCCCAGATGACCTGGCGAGAGCCGCCTTTTAAGGCGGCCCCGGTTGCGGTTGGATTGACAGCTTTCCCATCAGCCAGAGGAAATGCAGCGTTTCATAACGGCTCGTGTGGGAAAGCGAACCGGCGCTCCTACGTGTGCATGTCGCTGCAGGGAGAATCCCATCGAGTTCATCGTCCCTTCTCGGGACCCGCGGTGAACTTTGCTGCGCCTCGGTTATTTTTGCCCGTGTTTACCTCATTCAGACCACATGCAGACCTGTCTCCACTTCGATGTGAGGCGTCACATGGGGGCCTGTGTTCCGTACTAAGTTAATATCTCTCTGCAGCCATAAGTGAGGCAAAAAGGCCCCAACGATGTCCTTTAAAAAGATAAAATAAGCTGAAAAATGACAAATAAGCCATGAATCATATGTTAGTGACTGCATATGGTAATGTTTATGATTAAATACTCTGACGTGAGGATCTCGTCTCACTCAGGTACATAAATCCAGGGAAACAGAAGCGTACTTGATAAAAAGGAGCCGCGTGTGCGAGAACAGGCAGAATAAATCAAGTTAAACATGAACGTTGACAGTGTGCTGAGCATTCAGTTAATAACAGGCTCATTTTCACCTCAACTGCATTAGTTTTGATACACATCTCTACAAAGACATCGTTTCCACTGTGTTTAAACAGCCCCGTTGAAAACATACACGCGTGTATTTGGAGTGTTTCCAGAGACATTTGACTGAGAATTTGCAGAGGCATGAAGAATCCATTTCAGTGGGAAATCTCAGACCTCGAAGGCACTCGTGCTTTCATGAGTTGGATCACTGAGAAGCACAGGGATCGCAGACTTGGAGCCCCCGTATCTGATTTTCAATGTCCTTCGGCAAAACCTTCAAAACAAACGCTGCAGCGCTGCTGGCAACGGCTACGAGTCAGTCCGACCCCACTGCGCCGTTATCACCGTGGCACACTCGCTGCTCAAAGTCAAACGCACATCCCCAACTCACGCTTCTGACTCCAGCCTCAGCAGCTACAGCCCAACGATTCAGATGATTCAAGCGACTCAGTCCAAACATCATTTTTCCTCTGGTAACAACAGCTTGTCTAATAATGTTGTCTAATTCGACCTCCTTCACACCCTCGTCCATTGTTTCCTCTCCGATGGCACATATTCGCGGAAAGTTATTCCCTCAATTATCTCTTATTTCCCCCCTGTGGGAGGCATTACTGATGCTATTTTGGCAGACGCTGTATGGATTTAATCACGCAGCGGAAGACACCAGCCAACTCAAGGGTTAACTGTGGATGGGTCCCTCCGGAGCTGAAGTATGTGGGCTGTGGATGTGCTGACGTCGGGCCAATAAAGAGGCCGACGCAGACGGGTGCGCAGGATGCTTACAACACATTTCACAAGGATAAAGTGTAACTTCTTTGTGCTGGTGTGAGCGAGCCTCGTCGGGTCTATTTGGTGATGGGAATGCCTTCGTTGGGGGGGGGAATTTGTCTTTAACGAGCCGTGTTTGCTTTATACGTGTGGGCGTGGAATGAAATGTTGGAAATAGACACGCTGGATGTGCGAGTGAATTACTAAAGGAGGAGCGGGGAAGATGCACATTGCACTGCATTATATAAGGGATGACAAGACGGAAAGCTCTTTGATTAAAAGAGCAATGCGATGTTAAAAAAGATGCGCGCTCAAAAGTTGCTGCTATTTTCACATTATTAATCGTATAAGTAATGAAAATGCAGTGACTTGGAAACAAAAACAACAAAAACTAACAAGGAGTATTTTTATACATATGTTCATCAGTTACTATACTATAAACTTCCAAATATTGAAAGTGTATGTCAACATGGAGCTATGAACATATTATGTTAAACTTCCGGTTTGTTCCTTTGGAGTCATGAGTGATTGCTCCAATATCCCCGTGGCGGGATTTTAATCAGATAAAACACTGCAGTCTCAGAGCATAATGAAGAAAACCAAGAGTACATTGTGCGCCACACTGTTTACTTTGTAATTACGGTCCACCCAAATCACATAAATCATGTCTGCATCCAGTCTAGATGGCTCTCAAAGGGGAGGCGCTATCTGAAGGAGTTCAGGGCACAGAAGCAATCAGCCGAGCCCCACCGAGATGTGTCCATATTTAACCGCCGCGCGCACTCACGCCGTTACGCAACAAGAATTTAGTCTCCATTGCATTTAATCCCCCGTAGCAACGTAATCCTGGGGCTGAGCAAACCCCTCTCCTCAAGCCTCCCTGCTGCTCTGAGAACACAGAGGGGAGGAGAAGGACGCCACAGAAGGAAACAAGGGAAAGGCGCAGCGGCAGGAAGGAGATTTCAGAGAGGTGACAAAAAAGGAGAACGTCAAACGGTCAACCGCAGCCGACTGCAGCTGCAGGAGTCGGGGGGTAAATGCAAGCACTGACTGCAGACTGCAGATTCTCCCTGGCAGGTGTATAAAGGTGTATTTGATGTTCTGGGGCAGTTTTAAGGTCATTTCTGCTCCATTCAAGGCCCTGCAGGACAGATCTGTGGTTGATACATCACAACTTTCTGTTATGCACGTGTGATTGAAAACATACAAAGGTCACCCGCTTAGCAGCGGGACGATCAGAACGCCTGCACCCCTTCCATGTCAGATTCTAGGTTGTTAGCATAGCTACAAGCATCAGAATCGCACGATCATTCGGATACTGGTGCCAGAAGAATCTCCTTCTCACCAGGAATTGTCTAATATTTTCCAGTGGGCACCTTAACTCTGAAAGCCTTATTTCCTTTGGAGGCCGCCAAGACATGATGGCCTAGAAGTTGGCACATGCACCAGGGGCATATTCGCAATAGCCCAGCAAAAATATGACCATATTTGGATTAGTTCGTTGTAGCCCATAAATAATTTCTCCCTCAAAATTTGTCACCCGTGTTAAACAATTGGAAAGCGTCTTTGATTTCCTTGTTATCAGGACTGATTTCAAGCGAGTGAGTCGGGGGCTCACCCTCGATATTCACTGTGAATAATTCAATGTTTCAGTTCTGCAGCCTGGGGCCGTGTTAATGCTTCAGAACACTGTTGGGTCAGATCACACCACTTTTCATAGCTCTCTGTGTTATTTTGACATGTTTGTTCAAGTTATTCAGTTCTCTTTTATTTCTTGGCATGCACCATAATGCATTGGGACAACTTTTATTCTTCCGTTGCAGCTGGAAAGTCTCCCATCAGAATCCGAATCAGAAGCCATTTATTGCCACATCTGTCACACATGGAGGAATTTGACTTGAATTGGTGCAATATAATAATAAAACAGAATGGAACAAGATAAGAAATGAGGAGAATATAGTTTCTCCAAATACCACGGTTGAGAGTGCCGTTGGTTGAAGAAATCCAAGAGGGATTTAATTACCAGCGGGAATGGTGTGCGCTCGTGTTTTGTCGATGTGAGGATCCTACCTGACATTGTCGTGTCGCTGGATGTAGATTTTGTGAAAGATCCTTTCTGGGGGCTTCAGGAAATCCTCTTTCATCTCCATAGCTACGTTTCTGGGCAACAGACTCATTAGCAGGCGCTCCTGCATTTGAGCGTGTGTGTGTGTGTGTGTGTGTGTGTGTGTGTGTGTGTGTGTGTGAACAGAATGGGAGGGAGAGAGCAGATCAAGTAAGTTCAAATATACAATTTATACAATCAAACACAGCAAAGTTATTTTAAGACAAAGTGTTAGAAGCAATAAGAAATGTGCCAGACAAAAAGGTATGAAATCGAGCCAAAACGAATAATGTGTCAAGATGATTCGCAGCACAGGAGCGGTGAGGCGGGAGGGGGGGGGGGGGGAGTAAATAGATGCACATCTAATTTTACCCATAGTTTCAGCAACGCACAGGTGCCTGTACCTGTTTCTCGTTCTCGTCCTCCATGCGGAGCCTCTCTTCAATGCAGTTGCGGGCCTGCAGGAAGGCCTTCCTCTGGGCTCGCTCTGTCAGGATGCGCACAAACAGCCCTGACAGGTTGACACTAGTGAACAGCACTGTGTTGGCAACTAACTGCAAGCAGAAGAAAAGGCAAAACAGAAAGCATCACGAAACACGTTGTTTAAAATGAGTTGTTCAAGGCATGTGCGGTTTCGGGGAATCCTGAAGAGATTTGCGTTGCTTTGTGACCTTGTGTGCTGAAGAACGATTTGACTGATATTCTGCGTGTTGCCACACAGTACATTCTTATATGTTTAGTGAAACAGGCCCATATACTACACTATGGACACTCACATATGTGAAATGGAAATCTGTCCGGTAAATTCTTCATAGAAATGAGTATCCTTTCCTTTTTCGATAGTTTTCACATTGATATTCACTTTTTCATCTGTTCATTTTAATATTAGTTGCGTTTTTTTGATGGTTTTGTATTGTTTTCATGATTAATTCTGTTTGAGAGACTTGTGTTTACACACGGATAAACACGCGCTGTGCGTTTTGTCCTCCGTGGTGGTGGAGTAGGAGGCGCCGACATTAAGCCCGTGCTCCTGTTCATCCATCACAGCAGACGCACAGCTGCTTGACTACTTCGACCTTGTCCTGGACACCAAGAAAATACATTTCTTGTTTTGTTTTTTTCCTCCACGACTTGGGTCAGCCGGCCGTGACTGTAAACAAAGCAAACGAGATCTACCTGCAGTGTCCACCAGCAAGCTGTTCCCCCGGCCAGTCGTTGTACATTCACACGATTAAAGGAACTCAATCTGTTCACATGGCCCCCCAAGACCATTAATCATGAGTGTTTTCCACAGCATAGTTTCACCGACAACATATAACTACTTATTTCACACCTATGTTAGGTTGTCACGTGGTACTCTCAAGTTGAACCCACTTGCCACAGATAGGCTTGTTTCCCGGTCCAATTAATAATGGATTGAGTTTTTAGAAGCAGCAGTCCGTCTCCGTGCTTGGAAGCAGCGCTGGCAAACATCAACATGTTCAAAAGGTGCTCAAGTTACTTCGCAGACTGCAGTAAGTAAATGTAGACGTCTGAAATGAGTAGAACACTCCTCTGTTTAAAGTGGCAAACCCCAATAACAAAAAATGGGCTTAACCATTACAAAGCAAATCTACATCGGCATTCAATATGTAAAACTAAACATTTCCATTTATGTAAATCTGTAGCATTGTGCGATGCGGCTTTGGTTTAATTAGTAGGCTATCGCTGCTTTGTTTAATGTTAATGGGACGGCGGAATAAAATACAAACTCTCTGGGACTTGTTACACTGTTAATAGCCGGCACTATAGTTGTATTTCACAAATGTGCTCTGGATTTAATATAAGGCTTGTTCACTGTCCAACCCGAGCTTTATCTGGACATGCAAGGTTATAAACTAATGCCATGTGACATTTTATTACTCCTAACTCGCTGCTGCACCAGTACAGTGTGGCACTGAAAAGAAAAAGAGTGATAGCTGAAGAATACAGGGGAGTAGTAATGTCTTTTTTTTCACTTCACTTCCCCCGCTTGCTCCCGTAATAAGATATTTCAGGTAGAATGAGGGCCGGCTGGGGGCCGGGGGCCGAGGTGGGTGACCCGTTCAGGCCCAGAGCCACGGGGGTCACACCACACAGCTCATCTCTAAGCTTAATGGATTAGCCATCTCTGGTAGTACAGCTAGCTGTGCCCTTCACATGGCAATGCAGGTATCGTACAGCCTTTACGCAGGCGGAAACAACCCCCCCCCCGCAAATACATTGTCGTCATGAACTGATCACGTCTCAATTATCCTTCCTACCAAACGCACACTCTTTGTATCACATACTCCACAAAGGAGGCAGACTTGTTCAACCTCCACCACCTCCACCTCCACCACCACCCCTGGAGGGGTTTGACTGATGTTACATCTCTTCTCTCCTCACCCCTGATGACAGTCAGTCAGAAGGCTGAGCATTGTGACGGGGTAGAAAGAAACGGGGAGAAAAAAGATCCAACGAAATGAACACACAGAGAGCAGGTGCACCGATTTCTATTTCGGCACGGGAAAAACATGTCTGTGCCCTCTTTTACCGCGACTGAAGCATATAGTGCTGTGTGTGTGTGTGTGTGTGTGTGTGTGTGTGTGTGTGTGTGTGTGTGTGTGTGTGTGTGTGTGTGGCCTGCTGTTTGCCCTATTTCTTGTGCTAGCAGGATGTCACTCTGGTTCTTCATTCCCAGGTGGTTCCTTTGGGCCTGAATCACATCCCCGGGGAACCAGTCATGGACCAGCAGACCGTTTGGCTCATTTATTTTTCTTCCTCTCCTTGTTTGTTTTTCTTTTCGGGGCCTACGGGTGCGTCACCACGGCTACAGTACATCACTATTTCTCAACCTCTGTAAATGATCCTTAACTTACTTCAAGGGGTGAAGGTAAAAAAAAGTGACTAACCAGTAACACTCACAGCTTTCACTTGCGTGCTTTTCCACTGGATGGAGTCTTCTTGCAGCTCCGCGGCTGAGCTGCCATGAGTTAGGTTTTTGGTTTGTGGAGGGGGGGCAGGGAACCTGGGGGGAGGGGGGTTGTAACCGAGACCTACACTTATTCAAATGATGTTTTTGTTGCTCTTAATGTTTCAGAACTACACTGTTTTTATCAAACCCCTGAGCCACCGCGGGGAGCTGTCCTCGGTGCTGAACTCCACATCACACACGCACACAAACCAGAGCCGACAGCGCGGCGGGATTAGAGCACACGTTGTATTCAGAGGTAAAATACGCACCGTTCTCCACAGTTTCTGCGTTTTCGCCGTGACAGAAGTGGCGGTCACAATCAAATGCGAGATGGAGACCATTATTCCAAACACGACCGCCAGCAGCGTCCGCACCGGTAGGAGCGCGTAGGCGACGAAGGTGACCAGGATGAGCTGCCACACGCCCTGCTCCGGGGACGTCGGCGGCTCCATGCCCATCGCGCCCAGCGAGAAGGGACAGCAGAGGAAGGAGAAAGTGAAGCCGAAGAGCAGCGCCAGGTTGACGATCTGTTGGAGCTGAGTCACCTGCAGGTACTTGACGTTCGTCACGATGAACAGGGAGACGAAGACGACACAGTGGACCGGATGGGACCCCTTGGAGATTGTGAGGCTGGGTCCGGACAGCAACTCCACCACGGTCAGCGTCGAGGACATGAAGATGAGCACGGCCAGGGCTTTGAGAGTGGACGTCTGCTCCAGCTTCAGGTTGTAGTTCTGGAAGAGGGACTCGAGCTCCTTGCAGTCGAACTCGTCCTCGCACGCGATGGTGGTCAAGGGGACGCCCGTCCGACAGCGACTTCTCTTCCGCCTGGTTTTGACTTTCTGAAACGGTATTCCTCCATGTTAAGTGCCATTCATAAACAGAATACCTGCTCCAGGCTCGAGTCGAAACGAAAGAGCGGTATCCCACCCCGACGCTGGCCCACAGGGACTGTTAAACGAGTTTTGGGGGGGGGAGGCTGGAGGGGGGAAGAGACGCGCACAGGACAGCCGGCTGCGGGCAGAGCGTCCCAGATATAACCGGAGAGCTGGCCGGTGGCCGCGCTCCACACTATCCACAGGTTGAACAGTGTTGCTCGGAGGAGAGATCCGCTACGAGTGACACCTTCATGTCCCGGCGGTATTTTCCATGCAACCTGCAAAAATATATCTCTGTATATTTTCTTTAGCAGTCGTTTGAGCGCCACGCGAAGAGCAGCGCACACGACGTGTAGTTGAGATGGTAAAAGCTTCTTTCTTCTTTTTTTTTTTTGTTGCAAGGCTCAGATAGGATCACGCCTGCGCATTATGAGGTGTAGATAAGACAGGTCTCAGCCACTCAACACAGTCAGGACGATGTGACTGGTGCGGCTGCAGAGCTAGTGTGACAGAGCAGTACATCATCCACAACGGCCTTTTCTGTTCCACCTACACATCATGACACGTTTTCTCCATTAGAGACTGCGCAATATATATGTTTCTTTTTCGTTTTTAGCATAAATTGATCCATTTATGCTCTTGCTTTCTGAGTCTCCCCCACTCACACACAAAAGCACAAAAGGAGGAAGGGGAGATGCTGAATTAAAACTGTAGTAGCCAATGCTTTCCGCCGGTGATTCATGAAATTCTCCCGGCTCATGTGGGCTGGCAGCTCTACTGTGTTTGGTTGGCACATACATGAGGGATAACATGCTTGCATGCCATTCATCCTATGATTTCTTTAATGGTATTTTGCGCTGCCAGCGAGGCAGCCTACCCTCACCATCGGCACCCTCTTGGCATTCAGGGGGCTGCGCCTCATTCATTACCAGGGGAAGATTAGTCATCCATCACAGGGCTGCCGTCGCCATGGCCCGTCCGTGCCAGGCAGGGTGTGAGAAAGTGACAGATGGACGGCCCTCGCCAAAGTCCAGCACTCCACCGTGCTAGTAGGACACTGGCGTGCCTTCTGTTGCCTCCTCTGTCGATGTGCATCTTCCTCGGCCGCCGACCAAATTTAAAGACAACTGCGCTCCACATGAAATAAGATATTTAAAAAGAGCTGAGTTCAAAAAGCTTGAGCCAGTCGATGCCGTGTCATACCTGAAACGATTGGGAGATTACCCCATTAGCCCGTGTTATGAGCTTCGATTGAAAACTGCTGAAAACTGCTTTGAGATTGGTGCTTTTTGGAACATTATCATCTCACTTGGTGTAAGCAACTACTCAATCTATTGAATCTGTAATGAAACGTATCATTAGTTCCTCTTCAAAACGCTTGTGGCCACACTAGATGTTCTGTTGGGACATTGTCGTGTCCGCGGGGCCTTCGCTGCCCCTCTCAGAGGAGGGACCCTGAACCGGACCCGTCGCTCTCCGGCTGATCTTTCCCTGTTGTCACTGTCTATCGGCTGGCACACTAACACTGCTGCAGTTAGTCAGTGACGTGGTCGCTTTAACGAGTCCGAAGGGACATGCAAAAGGGACAAAACAGCGTTGGCATTGATGGTCTGTTGACTCGAGTGTAATTAATCTGGCATTGATCTTCCGCCATCGCCCTGATCAATTGTTCCTTATATTCCTCGTGCAGAAGGACACCTCCTAAATGAATCTCAGTAATCAGTGGGGCCGTTTTTCTATTTTATAAGACATCCCACATTCCTTTGATGCAAATGTTAAACTGTGCATACAAACAAGATGAACAGCTGACATTCAGTTTGCCATTGATGTACCTGAACAGGCCAGTTGTTGTTTTACCTGCAGGATGAATACAGGATTGGTTGTCCTAAATATATATGTTGTCTAAATGTTATTTCTATTTTTTTCACTTCATTATAATTATTTTCTATGTCACTTAAGTGTTGGACTGGTGAGAGAATCAGTTTTCAACTCTTCTGTACGTCCGGTCGATTGGAGCTGATTTTGACTTTGAATTTTGATTGACGGATGCTTTCTTTGCCTTCATGTGATATTTTATTTATTATTATTGTTTATTTCCAGAGGGGCCCTCTTGGCACATTGGAAACATGGTGGAGGGGGAAGGGGGGGGGGGGGGCAAAGGGGTCGTGCAAAACAAAAATGTCATTTTGCTCGGCTTTTGATGGCCTCGGGTGTGAGTGCGCGATCAGACTCCTCTTCTGAGAACAAAGAGAGGTCTTGTGGGAGTTCAGCACTCCAAGGGCGGCGGACAAGGAGACGGCGGACAAGGAGACGGCGGACAAGGAGACGGCGGACAAGGAGACGGCGGACAGGGAGACGGCGGACAAGGAGACGGCGGCCCGCCTCTGCGCTGCGCACTTCTCTGCCAAAACAACGTCTCCCCACTTCCCTCAGCCTGTCTATTTCTGTCTCGTGCTCTTTCATTACACATTGAAAAAGACTCTTGAACTGAAAGACATAAAACAGCTGAACGTCTGAAGTGGCGCTCATCAGATGATTATGTGTCTGACATATTTACATTGCAAAATAATGTTGTTTGAATAACAGCTTGATGACTCAACAGCCACATGGAAGCTCCACAGCCTCGTTCCAAAGGCTGATGCACATAAAGAATCTCGCTTTCTACCAAATTTGTCTCGCGTTGGGCCTTTGGTCGACTCCCTCTGATGTGTCGCTTGAGCAGTGAGAGACGTCTCGTTCCCCCCTCACAAAGAGACACACTCAGCTTTTAGTTCTCCAGCCGCGGGAGGTCAGTCAACCTGCACTACACAAACACAAAGTCGCACAGCATGGGTCCGGTAGTCCTCAGAGCTGCTGCCTCCGTCTGAACACTCGCTGTCGTCAAGTCATCATCTGTGATGATAACAGAAGACGAGTCCCACCGGTGTCCAGATGAGGCATTACTGCTCCTATAATCACAGACTCATTGGCTTAACACCAGCAAATGAAACAGCCAAGCCGGGCCCAAGAGGGACGGGCAGTGTTGTGAGTTAGCTAATGTCAGCCTTAATTAAAATGTGCTGAGAAACAGAACACCTTTTTTCAGTCAGGTGTGCTGCTCCGGTTGAGAAACGTCGCTGTCTCGGAAGCATAAGAAATGATGGGGAACACTGTGAGGAATGAGAGCTTTATTCATACAAATTAGATTTTACGTTCAGAACATGGTGATGTATTTATCTATTTCCCGTTACTTGTGAAATAGAACAGAAAGAATGACTGAAAGTCGGCCACAAGTCAGCTATTTTCACATAAACTTAAAATAAATGAGTTCCATTCCAGCCTTGAGCGGGAGACTGCAGAGCTCCATCTGTCAGGGCTGGAAATGTAATGCACACATAATTACCAAATCAAAACTGGACTCGGGGAAAAGATCCACAAGCTTACACTTCATTTTCCCTCCTACAAAACACGTCCAACGTTCCAGATGAAGGCAGAAACTCGTTAAAACGATACGTTCTGTTGATGCGCTTCTCAGTTCTGTCTCAGCAAGTTCACTGGAACAAAAATAAATGATCTGTTCAACGATTGGTGGAGTAACGCCTACGGGCAGAGAATGAAGTCCTTATCCGACTCTCTCTTTGACTTGTTTACGTTGCCGAACCGACCTTGCGCGACCTTTATCGTATGCTAGTGTGCCGGTTAGCTGCTCATTCCGCTCACGTGGCCGTTACCGCTGATAACGCTGCCCAGGTCTCCTGTGTTTGCACTGTCAGCGCTTTGGGCCCCGTTAGCTCCGTTAGCCGCCACCATCTTGGGAGCCGGTGTCAAGGGCTGATTATTGGAAATACACGGTTTATTTTGGATTCCTTCTAAAATATTCAGCAATGTTCCCTCCTAATATTATATGTCAACGGTTAAACTGAAGAGCTGGAGGCAAAGTCTGCATGAAAAAACACCTTGCTGCTTGAAGTATACCTCAGTAAAAAGCTAGATTTGCTTCACCAGCTAGAAACAGAACCTGCTTCCCTTTGGCGGCGGCGGCGGTTCCCTGAACAATAAATATGAAATCCCGCTTTTCCCCATGACAGCTCGCTGACCGCAACCTTTCGCTTATCAACTTACACGTCTGAGGGACTCGTTCAGCGCCTCTTGTCTTACGGACCACGCCGCCCCTCTAACCTTCCCCTGTCATCAGCAACGATAAAGGGCCTAACAGCTGGACGCATTCGTCTCGACTGCGCACACCGTGATGGAAAATGAGATCGTGAAAAGAAAGTCCCAGAGGAGTTTCTTCTTCGCGGCGTTGGTACTTTGCTGTGGATTACTGTTTAAATGCTTCTTGTCCATCATCTCAGTCCTCGTGACGAAGACACATCGGCGCTACTTCAGGGACATTAAACTGTAGTTTGAATCCAGAGAAGGTTCCCGCACCTCTAAAGGCGTAAAAAGGAAGACGCAAGGTCAAAGCCTTGTTTACAAAAACAAGAAGTAACCCACGTGTCTGTGTGCAAGCTTATGGTGGATCAATAGCCTTCAGGGCCTGAGATTCAAGAGCAACACCCCCCCGTTTCCAAAGCTTCTGAAAGCTTCTGATAGTTCATGTAATCCGGGAGAGGCAACGTGCGAGTGTGTTTGTTTGTCTGCGTCCACTCCATGTGCCTCGTCCCCTCCTTCCTCCATCACGTGCCCACCGAGAGGGAGGGGGAGGGAGGGGGGGGGGGGAGAGAGAGAGGGAGACAGAGAGAGAGAGGGAGAGAAGGTGCACGTTCTACCTTTTCACATAGCATAACAGCACCTACAAACTAAAAAACTAAACTCGTGATAAGAATTCTGGTCATGGGGACCAGACTACCAAAGTGGACCCATATCACACACTTGTATTTATCTGACTACTCGGTATTTAAGTGCATATTTAAACCGCGCAGAGCTGGAAATTTCCCCTAAAGCACTAAAGTCCTTAATTAAACGAGGAAACACGTCTAAGTCCTTTATTCATCCATTTTGCAGCGTGGATAAGTTTTCAAGAAATGAGTGGGCTGATCAAATAGAAAACTGTGCGTGTCATACATACGTAAAGCACGCGTCGGACATCATATTCTACCATTCATTTGGGTTTTATCTTCGTTTGGCTAAATGCTTAAACCTCCACAATCTGAACGAGTTAAACTCCTCAGAACCGAGACCTCGGCACTGCGTGAGTGGAAACAGCATTAGGAACAGTGCATGTCACAGAGCGGTGGAACAGACGTCTATTGAGCGGGTCAGATGGGGTCAGGTAACGAGTACCGATCCAGGGAGCAAGCGGACACGGAGCCGCGCTGTTTGGAGGCGCCACTGATGACACTCGCCAACACTTGGAAAGGCCTGATGTTGAATGGGAAGTGGATATTGAATTTCAAAGACACAAACACCATTCAGCGGGCAGGGAGTGTGTGTGGGGGGGGGGGGTCCTCTTATGTTTGACTGTTCCCGTAGGAGAAAAATACCTTTCAATCAATAACCGGCAGAAAAGGGCCGCTGGCCTTGATCCTAATTAGTGCAGAGTTAGAGCAGATTAGCCTGCACCTGAGCCTCAAACAACAGCCGCCATCAGGCCGCCTCAACGGGATGCAAGTTGGGGGAAGAAGTGTGTGTGTGTGTGGGGGGGGGGGTCTATAACGCCCTTTTTCTCGCATCTTGTTTGTCTTACATCCCATTGTGGGGAATAACTAGTTAAAGCATGGGAAGGACCGGGCGGTCCTAAGGCCAGGGTGACCGGCGCCATCGACGTGACGGTCACCACGGCAACGGAGCAATTAGCCGCAAACCTTTCGGTGTCGAAGCAAAGTCTGCTAAACGCAATGAGTTCAAGGAAAGTTTGAGAAGAGAAGATAAGTATGGGTTGCTAGCTCTGTGTGTGTGTGTGTGTGTGTGTGTGTGTGTGTGTGTGTGTGTGTGTGTGTCTTTGCTTGCACACATTCATAGTGTTGTGAATTAACAGTTGCTATAAGTAGAACATACCTAAGTTAGTGTAGTTCTGTTTTTACCTTAAACCATGCAGCCAAATTTAAACACTATGACCTTTTTTTTGGAAGCTCGTCAATTGATTAAAGCACATATTTAACATATATTTTTTGTTTGGTTATTATCTGTTGTATGCAACATTCACAACAACAAAAAGAAGAACAAAACCACATGAAAATAAACTAATTAAATCTGATCCAGACAGATAATTGATATATACCAACTTTGTGTACAATCTGTACATTTTAACCAAAATTCCAAGTACATTCACTCATCATCATCATCATCATCATCGGGAACAAAAGGAGCAAATGAAGCGGCTGCTCTTCTTGTAATGAAGGAACACTGTGATGTAACCGATGCCTCGCAGCATCCGCGCTTCTTCTTCTTCAGCAGCAACTGCTGTTGTTTTTGTCACGATGACGTCTGACCCGGTAAGCCCTTCGTTCTCTCGCCAGGTGCTTAGGATTTAAACCAGCCTCAAACTCCACGTTCAATTCTTCAATGATGATCCACAAATGTGTCGCTAATTGGCCCTAACGGACAGCGGCAGGCTGTGTGTGTGTGTGTGTGTGTGTGTGTGTGTGTGTGTGTGTGTGTGCGTCTGTGTGATGAGCCGCACACACACACACCCTGCTGGCCATCACTACCACTCTGGCACAGTAAGTCAAAGATCACACACACACACACGCTGGTGTTAAAAGCCTCGTTGGAGGAAACAGGCGTGTTAGTGGAGCGCCGATGGGTCGGTTCACCCGGCGGCTTTGGGGTCGGAGAGGAAACCTCTCCGCCGTCACGGATTCATTCGTGGATGAGCCGCAGGACCCGGGAGAGGAGCTGTCGGCTCCAGCTCCAGATGTGAGCGTGTGGGACGGCTGATGTTCCTCCCGGTGACAAACGGGACGCGCTCCTCCAAGGGGAAGCGCAGCGGGAACAGAAGAGGAAATGAGGAAATCTAATCACGACCACGACGCTGATGAGGCGATAACACCGGTTGACAGATGGACGTACTTTGTGCTCAGACTGAAGGATTTGATTTGGATGCCGAGTGTCGAGCCAACAGGCACATGGTGAGGCGGCCTCCGTGAAGACGGAACGAACGTGGGATGAGCTCCGGGTGACTCCTCCGATACAAAGAATGGAGAGAACGAATACGTGTCATCTTTGCCCCTTTACCTCGGGAAGGGGCGATTCTGATGAATCAGTGGATAAGTGGTTTGGTTGAACCGGTGGTCCGAGGTTTATTTAAGGTAACATGGCAGGTAAACACTATGATAAATAAAGCATAGAAAGTGTGTGTGTGGATCCACGTCCACAGACGACATGTGTGTGTGTGTGTGTGTGTGTGTGTGTGTGTGTGTGTGTCCGCTCTTCAAGCTGCTCCCATTCTCAGCAGCATTGCGGTTGAAGTCGGTACCGTTTTACCAATCAGGCCCCCGGCGGCCCCGGGCCCCTCAGTCAGTCACTGTGCCATCTGCAGCTGGGATAGAAGGCTGCATGCCGGCCTCTACTGTCCGTTTAGGGAACGAACACACACACAGTTAAGAAGACACAGGAAGTGCAAACGTGCATTTAGTGTTTTAATAATTACATTAGACATATTTTCATAGGCAGTATTCATTATCATGAACTGTGAGTGATGTTTACAGGCAGAAAAGGTTGTTTAAAAAAAAAAAAAACATAATTGAATGATTGAATTCACTTTTAGAGAATTTACAACTGCAGCTGTTAAACACCAGTACATAGAAAACTGACATTAATGTAAAAAAGAAAAACCCATGACAAGTGATACTGATAACAAACACGAGGAAGCAGCCGGAAACGGAAGTATAGCTGAATCAGGCTGGAAATGAAGGGACCGCATGTCCTCTGTGTCCTCGGTCAGAAGACAGCTACACCTGTGTAACATCGCTGGATTCACACCTGAAGTGCAAAGCGATTTGGTCAAGGTTGTGTAAACAGCTTCAAATGGCACAAGATTATGTTACGCCGTGTTCATCGGTTCATTCGGGGGAGACAGAGAGGGAATATTATCCGCCGGCAACAGTAGCAATATGTTCCGATGTGAAGCAAAGCATTATAATCCGTCACCAGCATCGAACACACAATATGCGTGTGGAATAACAAGATCATCCTTTGCCAGCAGCTGCATGCACAGTGCAATGCCTCAGACTGAAAGCAACCAACATGTCAAACTTAAAACAATCCCATTTCCAGTTTATTGAGCGACACAGCAAATTCAAGTAGAAGATGATCCACAAGTGTTGAAAGAAAACACTCCCTCAACAGCACGACTGATAAGACAAACGCTTGGATGACGTCGGTCTGTAGACGATGGTTTGTCGAGTCAGTCTCGTTACAAACAGCCTCTTAAAGAGCCTCGGACTCGTGTGGCGCCAAAGCTGGAGGCAGCGTAGTTCCACATGGACCCTGGAAATGGTACCTAGAAAAAACAAGAACACACACATCTACTCGGTGAACAGGAGGAGGATCACGCGCTGCTTCAGAGGCCTGGACGTTACTCACGCTGCCAGTGGATGGCACCAAATATCAAGATATCATCAGCTCGTGCTTCATAACTGGCTGGACTTCATCCATTGGATGGCCAGGTGGCCGTTGTGTCTTGTTGTACTTACGTGAAGTACTCGGATTTTGGGGTAATATTCATGTTAAATTCCGCCACTGGGACGCCCCTGGATGCAATCTGGGGGCCAAACATGGCTGCCGGGTACACGATCGACGACGTGCCCACCTATAGGTGAACAACACGCCGCGATGACACCACTGTGCAGCCTTGCATTTCAGGTCGGAATCTTTCAGAAAGAGATTCCGACGTCAAACCGATGAGGACTCACCACCAGGCAGAGGTCACAGGTCTCCATCTCTTTTTCCACCTTGGTCAGGATGTGGGAGTCCAGAGTCTCTCCAAAGAACACCACGTTGGGCCTCAGCAGGCCGCGGCAGTCGCTTTCGCCGCACCTTGACACAGCGAACCAAGCGGCCCTCAGTCGGTTAATGGTGTCATTCTGCGTTCATCACTGAACAAGTGGCCCCGACGCAAGAGTGGCAACAGGTGGTGGGGGGGGGGGGGGGGTAGATGGAGGCTTAAAGCAGGACGGTGCAGCAGGTCAGCAGAAGCTCAAAGCAAAGCTGGCGGAGGGTGAAGTCGGTGGTTCAGATCCCACATGCGTAGAGATCTAATTGCTCTTCTGCTCGTAGAATAGAGATGTAGCGATTAGAGTAATTGTAGGTAAATAAATGCCACAGTACCAGCGTTTAACACTGCAGTAACGGAGCCAGCCAGGGCATGAGATTTATAAAGGATTATAAATATATATTCTATTTTGAATTTTTTTAAAGAGGGCACCCAGCAGAATGAGCCACCTTGCAAGTACTTGGTAGCAGCGGCAGCATCAGCACCTTCTCAAAGGTTGTTTTCACAACTGTTTCTGAAATAAGAGGCCTGCTGTGAACATCAAACTTGAAAAGAAGAAAATATTAACCATGATTTAACTGCACTACAGGCGGAGTCCTTGTTTACTTGAAATGTGCACTTTATAACTTTATTTTGTACGCCCTGTTTGGCCATGTTGCTTTTCAATAAAACATTTACAAAAATGATATACTTTGAGTTAACTATGACAAAAATGTGATTAATTGTAATTAAATATTCTAATGGCTTGACGGCACTGATATATAAAGTGGCCATTCATTGTCATCCACCTCTCTGGGTCACGGGTCTGCAGGCTAAGCTGGTTATTCCAGAAGTTGGTCTTCTAAAGACATAAATCACCAGAATGTGCCTTTTCCTCTTCACACCGTCTGGGACGGTTAAAGGCGTCAGTAGAGGCCGTTTGTCTCTAACAGCTTCTGTAAAGTCAGTGTTTGGTGTTTAACCTGCTTTTTACAAGGAGAGAATTTTTTCACAAAAAACTGCCGCACACAAAACTATTTCAGTACAAATCTCCTGCTATTTGCACAATGCTCCTTTAAATGTATGTGGAAGTAGAGACACGCGTCACTGGAGCCATGCAGAACGCAAAGACCACAGCGCCTCCAGCCTCTGTCAAATGGAAGGAAAACTCTGCGTAGTGTGTATCAGCAAAGCAGCACAAACGGCTTCGTAACCCCGTGTTATTAATATGAGGCGACTGTGTTCCTACCGTGGCAGTTTATCCACAGGAATCTGGGCATCAGCAACATCTGGATCAGGTGAGCTGCACATTCAGAGAGCAAACACAGTGGCTTAAATGACACGTTTCCTGTCCTACACTTCCTTTGTGTGTGTGTGCGCTGCCTTTTACCCTTTGTCCTTCAGGGCAGCACATATTGGGCTTCGCCTGTTCACGCTCACATGTCCACAGCTCACACAGCGGGTCTCCATCAGATTGCCTGCAGTTCGTCACGCACAGAAAACACAGCTGTTTGTCCACCCGAGTGACACAAACCCCCCCTCTACCCAACCTATTGACGGGGACGGTTTGGTCTTAAATTGAAGCCAGACTTTGGCAAAGACAATCAAGCACTTGAAGCACCCAATGCACTGGTTGCAAACAAACACAAACGGTGCTGTGAACACGGGAATGACGGGATCAACACTTCTCAGCGGTGGTCTACCGACATGGAATTAGTGAGTAGCTGTGGGCCGACCGGTTGTTTGAAAGACCAACAAATATGAACCACTGAATGTTTCCGTGATCAGGAGAAGAGGATATCCTGTTTTAGTTTGCAGTAATCGCTGCTTTAGGATTTCAGTGATGATTTACTTCACTAATCCACAACAGACCCTCTTCGTTCCGTCCTGCCGGAGGAATCCCGTCTCTAGATGGCAACGAACTCAAGACATTGAACAAATAAATTAAAAGCACATTAGTTTGTAGATATTTTTTTCCCCCGTAGTTCCGTCCCGCCGCCCCTCACCGTGGACCTTCAGCACGTGTTTGGACCCGGCCTGCCGGTGGAGGTCGTCTATGGACTGGGTGATGACGACCACGGAGCGTCCCTGCTTGCTCAGCCGGGCCTCGCACTCGGCTATGGCCAGATGGGCCGCGCTGGGCTTCTTGTTCAAGGCCATCTCCCTTCGGTAATGGTAGAACTCCCACACCCGAGACGGGGTCCGAGAGAAGGCCTCCGGCGTGGCCAGGTCCTGTGGAGGCATCGACGCGGGTCGGGTCAGAACTCAAGAGCAAAACACCAGAAATATCCAGGAGGCAAGAATTGGACAGATAGTGAAAGGCAAGAGACAATGGCTTTAAATAGTGTGATTTAGGAGGGAGAGCTTTTTGGTTTTTTGTAGGAGCCTATTTTGGATTCCCTCCCGGAGGGAAGTCTCGCTGCAGCCCACGACAAGAAACCGCATTATGCAACAAACGCGGCTTCTCTCTAAAGATAAATCCACTGGGCTATGAAGATGTATTATGTAAACACTAAATGCACCCACTCCACAGCTGGATGTCAGACCAAAGACAAAACTAAAGACCTAAATAAGAAACAACCACCACGCACAACTGTGTTTTGCCTCTGAATGGATTACCTGAGATAGCCACTTCCTCCACTTCTCGTTCTCCCCCCTGAAGGTCGGCACGCCGCTCTCTGCGCTCACGCCGGCCCCGGTGATGATAGCTATGTGTTTGGCGTTGGAGAAGACCTTGCGGAATTCAGACATGTCTGAGAAAATAGAAGGAAGGGGACAAAGGGGATCAAGATTTCTGTTAAAATTGTTCATTTTCCACCAGCAATGCACGGATTAGAATCTGATATCAGTTCGGCCCGTTGTCCTTCATAGCCGATCCAGCCGTTTCAGCAGGTTTAACAGTAGAACAATGTGCCTACTAAAGCCAAGTCCAAGACACAGCAGCAAGCCGGCATAATACGGACCGCCGCCCTGTTACCTGAGATGGGTCTCGCTGCGACCACCGCCGGCCCTTTCATCAGGCGAGTCGAGCATACGCGGAGGCCGCGCGCAAACACAGCTCGATTTCGGAGAAGCATCGTCCAGGTCCTTGAAGGAGGAACCAAAGAACACATGAAAGGCACGAAATGAAGATGGATTATAACATTCTTCTCACCAACTAGTTTGTGTGCAGTGAACTTCTGTACTTAATACGAAGATGACCAATCAATCCTTCCTTTTTCACAAACGTGCGTTGTGCAGCCAAACCGTGATGAGCCACAGAACCCTCGGATCCTACGTGTACTTCATTAGGAATGAAGTGTAAGAAAAAGCACAGCTTTCCACACCAGGACTGCGACGAAGTGGGTCCGTGCGCGCGTGACCTGTTGCACGTTTGTGCGTGAATTATCAAACATACACGCTGCAGGAATGCGCGTCACGTGTTTATGCGATCGGAGCCGTGATGCGTGTGTTTGTCCAGCAGCACGAGGAGGTCACGCATGCGACTCAACGCAGGAAACGGGCAAAACTCACCGAATGATCACCGCTTCCCCCCTTACGTTTAACGGAATAGATGTTTTATTGAAGCTCGTGAGAGGCTAGCATGCTACTTTGTAGGAAGGGAACATCTGAACACGATGCCAACGTTAGGTTGAAGTTAAGTAATTCGGTGCGAGGTTTCTACAAGCTGACAAAACGTGATAAAACAGGTTTGACGGGCTGCGGCTAAAGCCTGGAAACCCGCAAAGCGCTACGGCCGCGGTGCACTCGATGTTTGATGGTTTTCTTTAAAAAGGGACTTGAACACAATTCTCTTCCCAGTCAACCAGTTACTTTTACACCACGAAGCTAACTTTAGCGGAATGTTGCGTAGTCTTTAAAGTAACACACTTTACGTTAATATAACTGGCAGCGTCGTGAATGTATCGTAACCGCTCTCGGTTCCACAAACAGGAACAAGTCGCTCATCCCGGAAACAGGAGCGGTGAATTACGCGTCTTTGGCCTCGCCTTGGTAACTTTATCCAGCGGTTCCCCGGCTCGACGATTCCCACACTTGGCGGAGCAGAAAGTCACGCAGTTCGCTCGTTTAGGTCTGTGGCTGCAATATATCCCGCGCGGCCGTAAAGGCGCCGCGCTGTCGCAAAGCCCGCCGCGAGAGACGCGCGCGCGACGTGGGGTCGGAGGGACGCGTGTGGCTCAGGAGCGCCATCTAGTGGCGCGCCGCCGCAGGTGGGATTCACTCAGGGTGATTCATTCATTCATGACGGTCGAAGCCTCATCGCGTTTCATCCTGTTTGTTTCGGGACGTCTTGTTGTTTCCTCTGCGAAACAATACGGATCAGATTCCTCGTCTTATCACACATCACTGCACAAACACGTAATCCGCTCTTTTTAATTGCATCTCCATTGATTTCCCCCATTTTCATGTGTGCATATCATCTATGATCTCGTTATCTTTTACTGTTATATTATGTTTTATAGCAAGAAGGAGACGTTACGTGAATAAAAGATTCGATGATAAATGCCTTTTTTTGCCCCATCATCAATTGTGTGTTGTTCCCACGCTACACCCATGCCACCAACGCCCCTCTCTCCCCCTCCCTCCCTCCCTCTCCCTCCCTCCCTCTCTCTCTCTCTCTCTCTCTCTCTCTCTCTCTCTCTCTCTCACACACACACAGACACGCGCGCGCACGCACACTCTCCGTGAACTCCCTCCTCCCCATCGATAGCGGCCCCTCGGTGTGAGTGGCCGAGCTGCTGCGTGTGCCCCTGGTCGGCCGGCGGTCCTCCCCGGGCACCGGTCCAAGTTGATGGCGACCACCCCGGGCGGCAGCACGGACCGCAGAGCCGCGCGGAGACTGCGCTCCAGGAGCGAGACCCCGTACCTCGTTGAAGCCCGGCTCTCCTTCAACCTGCGGACAGGTAGGCGCGCATCCGTCCACCCCGTCCCCCGGAAACATCCACGTTCGGTGTTCAGCCAGATGTCCTGGTGTAGGTGGGCCGATGTTGGGGGGAGATGCTCGCCTTGCTCCCGATTACGCGAATGAAACATTCATTTACAACCGTGTGCCCGCGTGCTGCTGTTATTGTGGACTGGTGGTTTATCGTGAGATGTATGTAACGGGAACCTCAGAATGTGCCTGTTAGGCGGGGGGGGGAATGGAACAGAATATTATGCAACTTTATGGACCGGTGGTTACTAACGTGTGTGGCGCAAAAAGATTACAAAAAAAGAGAAGCATCTTTAAATACCGGTCCTCGATCGGTTAATTCATCCAAGTTATGTAACACGACGGCGCTTCAACGTGACGTGTAGTGGTGCTCCACTATCACGCGGGACATCCGGTTGCTCCAACGTTTTAGTGCGCGTGCACGTTTTAATCGCTTCATCCTAAACTGCAATAGATCCCTCGATGATGCTCGTGAACGCTCCCTCGCCCTTCACAGCGCGTGTTTTGCGTCCCCTGTTACCATGGTGATTTGGCATGTTTTAAACCTTATTGAGTGAACAGGATTCAGATCTTTTGTACCGCTAGACCCTCGCTTCCACCCTCAGTCGTTGTTTTAATCATCTATTTGTGAGAGGATTTTATTTAAATCACAATTCACCACATCCCAAAGTTAGATATTTAAATTGGTTATTTTGTCTGACCAACCGTCCCAATGACCTTCGGTTTGAAAAGTCGTCGTGTGATGCTGCGGAGGGTCATTGAGGCCGGTAACAGTCTCTGGGGGTTGAGCCGAATTTCGGCGTCATCGGTTGAGTCATGAAGTGTCTGCAGCTGCTCAGGTGCCAACCACCTTACCGGTGGATTGACATTTCCCAGGTGTGCCGAGGTGCTGCTGGGAAAGAGCCACGGAGCAACGGAGTTGTTGTGTTCCCCCGGATGAATGAATGAATAGAAACAAAACCACAGACCGCCCGTCTGATCAGCCTCTTCTTGGCTGCTGATGCAAACGTTTGTCCTGTGGAGACACGCCTGTTGTCCATGTCGCGTCTTCTGTCTCCGTGCTCGTCATTCGTCCTGTTCGGTGTCCCTACTCTCTAAAAAGAGCTCTCACAAAGCGCGGCACGGGGGCGATGTGTTCGGCACTCTTGACTCACTTCCACCTGAAGAAGCGGAGCAGGATTTAGCTCGCTCATCGCCAAGGAAACCAAACGGCCTTGTGGTGGTGTGGGCCAGCTGCCCAACACGCATACATGTGAAGCAAGAACCAAGCTATCGCCGTGGGGTCATTGTGATTCTCTGCATTTTCATCAATGAACGTCTACATACACTTCTCAATGAGATGCAGTTGTGTGTGTGTTTTAAAATGTGTGGCAGCTTTACAACTCGACTATTAGGTATTTAAACAGCTGATACTGATCCCTATTCCCCGATGCGGGAACCGAGCTCAGTCAGCCCGTTCTCGGATCAGCGGGGTCAGGGGGGGATTCTGTCGCTCCTGCGTGTTCGGCAGGATCAAGGCACACAAACGGGATCGCAGAGCGTGTGTGAGACATCGCTTTATGGCGCCGAGCCGTTTAGCGTCTGCACTGATCTGATTCGCGGCCCTCAACAGAACATCGTAGGGTAGCAGGTGAGGGTGGGTGGGCCGACTTCTCGCAGGCGCACCACTTTGTCGTCTAGACTAACAGCTGAGTGTTTGTCGAGCTACATATGTTGTTGTTTACCCAAGGATCTTGTCCAGGGATTACATTTTATTGCCAAGAGGCAGAATGTCTGTGTTTGTGCGTCACCATGCATGATTGTGAGCTCCGAGCGTGCGCGCATAATCGCCCCTTGTTGGTGTGATGTGCCTTTGCTGCCTGCCGACAGAGAATGCGCCTCAGTGGAAGTGGGTCGTCGTCTTGTTTTCTATTTGCCCATCCATCAGCAGCTCAAGTACCACCCTGCTTTCTGTCTGCACACACACACACACACACACACAGGCTCCCAGTTGAAGCCTTTGGTTGGCGACTAGCATCCTCCTTCCTGGGGTCTTCTAACACCTCTGCTCACACAATCAATCTCAAGTTCTCCAGCATTTTACTCTGAGACTAAAGGGATACGTTTTGATATTCATCTTCTTGTTTGTTTGTTTTTTTGTGGTGTCAACACTCGGGTCAGCTTGTCCGTACGTGCTTACGCTCCTCTCAGGTCGGGAGTGGCACGTGGAACTTTAATCCCAGCACAGCTTCTGTACAGATGTTACTTGCGTCGAACAGCAGGACGCTGAGCGGAGTGCAGAGATGCTCTCACCATTGTACCCGAATGCAAGTGGCCAAAGCTGGAGCCGACCTGTCTGCATTGCAGTTGTTGGAGGATAGATGGTATGCAGTCCTTATCCATGGCCGTATGTGACATGCACAGGTTGATGTCTTAAAGTTCAAAAATGGTCACAAATTTTGATGCAAGTAAACATTCTCTCTCTCTGTGTTGCAATCCCTGCCGTCCAAAACAGTCCCATCGATACGCACCAGATGCATGGTGGGACGGGGCGCATTTCTGCTGCAGAGCTCTGCCTGCCTGCAGGGTTTACCAGAGGATGTACAGTACACACTTCACACAGGCCTTGGGAGACAGTAATCAGTCTGAAAGTACGCACACTCCCAGGGACGGTCTAGTCAGGCGATCCACTCTTTGATGGGATCCAAATGGCAGCTGAAGGTGACTGCAAGGTCTAGAACAAGCACAATTTGCGATCATCAATTTAAGCCGTCGGTCCTCTTGTTTTTTTCTTCAGAGGAGGTGACAAGCTGAGCTGGAGTCAGTGCAGAGGCTGCTGAATTGTTTTGCAAAGTGTTGATAATCAGTGGCGAGACGTTTGTATCGGCTCTCTTTTCGAACTGAGAAGGAGAACATGAGACATGATAGACCAACAGCCTACTGAGAATCCCTCCTCCCTACTTGGCTGCACAGAGGCCTTCTTGTGAAGCGTCTCCTGTCTGAATAAATCATGAGCAGGAAAATCCGAGCAAAAATCGCAACGTCCACGGCCAGTACTCGATGCTCTTGCAACATGAAAGTTCAATCCGCCATCAGCGTCAGCTGGCCGACAGGCGGGTGCTACCTTACGCAGGGAGCTCCAGCCTCTCTCTTTTGCCCCAAGCAGGAAGGTGGGAAAGCCTCCTGGCTGCGCCGTGCCCATCCCAAGCGGCATGATGACGTGCTTATGGCCGATATATAAATACGCTTGCATGGAGGGGTGAAGATACCACTGCAGTCTGAAAGGCGCCATAGTCAAGGACCAATTACGCTGCGCCTGACTCACCGCTGCTCCCAAATGCTGGTTCGACTGAATTTAAAGCAACACGCAGTAGATTCTGTAGAATACGAGGAGCACAAAAAAACCCCAGATGTGTGGGTCTCATCCCTGATATTATGAAATGACAACAGAGGGTATATTCTCAGCAAGACACTGTGCAGCAGCTCGGCGGACAAAGTGTGGGCATCCATGTGGATATGGTGAATGTTCACAGAAGGGCAGTGGTTGCTGGCGTCCCGGTGCAGCTCCCAGAGTGCACCGGCTCCCGAGGACGTTTCTGCTGAGTGTGAGACTTTACGGCGTCGCTTCAAACGCTGCTGCAAACCCGGGACTCCGTTCAGTCAACGCTGCGCCACTCAGCAGTCCGTCAACACAGCAACCTGTCTATGATTCCTTCAAAGATAACTGCAAATGGTGCTTCCATTTTGGAAAGGCATTGCCATTTGCTAATGTTTGAATATAAAGATTTCTCTATTCGTCATCATGTTCTCATAAAATATCTCTGTTTCAATTTAGCCATCGTTGTATTCTCAGTATTAATTTTACATGTTCAAGTATATTTTGGTATGAAACAAATTTGTGCTCTAAACATTATGGTTAATTATGCCTGTAATCTTC